TCCCAGGAGGCCCCAAGAGGTTCTCTAGAGGCCCCAAGAAGCCCACAAGAGGCCCCCAGGACACCCGCAAAGGCCCCAAGCGGCCCCCAAGAGTGCGCCCAAGAGGCCCCACAATTCCTCCCCCGAGGCCCCCGAGAGCCTTCCCGAGAGACCCCAAGAAGCATCCCTGAGGACTCGGGCCCACGTCAGCGTCGCCGTCGTCACCGCCACCACCGCCGCCGTCGTCGTCGACGTCCCCCTTCAGGGCCGGCGGCGTAAGGTCTTCGCAGTCGCTCCACCCTGCCGCCCCCCCCGGCGTGCCAGTGGGGCGTCGTGGGTGTTTCGCTCGAGACGTCCTCACTACCAGCAATCCGGAAGCTTGGCTTGTGCAGCAGTTTCATGGGGGGAGGGCGGGCCGTTTTGAAAACGTAGCTCTCGCCATAGCGGCGCGTACGTCCGTCGTAAACGTTACACGTACTCACTGATAGAAGGCGGGCAATTGCAAAATGTTGCTCTCGCTTCAGAGCCGCGCACGCTCATCTCAAAAGTGTGCAACCGTTTCAAGGATGAAAGGCTGCTCTTCTTTAAAAGGATTTTCTCGCCATGCGCCGTGCAGATTCGTTTCGAAAGTTTGCAACAGTCTCAAGGTTTCGCATGGTCGAAATCCAAGGCATCATGACCTGGCCAGATTTAGGACTGTCAGGACGCAGTGGTCACGTTGAATCGCGGAGTGAGAGTCCCAGGGGTAGCGTTCTGGCGCGAACTTTGCAAGGACGCAACAGTCACATTCACTCGCGAAGTTGAAGTCCCAGGAATGGCGTTTCGGCACGACTGGTGATTCTCAAGCGATTGCCTTCCAGTAGGGAATTTCCTGCAGTGGTCATCACTTTCTATAGGGCCCTGTGGAGAGGGTACTTGGAGGAAAGCTTTATTACAGCATCGTTGACGCGTCCTTGGTTTACGCCGGCCCTGCTCCGCCTCTTCCTCCTCCTCCTCCTCCTCCTCCTCCTCCTCCTCCTCCTCCCTCCGCGAGCGGCCCGAGCCTCCAGCGGGGGGGCCGAACCACCCCCCGGCGTCTGATCCCCCTCCGCCACGTGGCATACAGAGCTCTCTGATCGCAGCGGGGACAAGCTCGGCGGCGAGCGAGGGGGGGAAAAATGAGAAGGAGAAGGCCTCCTCAGAAGCTTCGGAAGTCCCCCGGCCTTCTGAGCAGTTTTTTGTAAGCCTTCTCCGAAGACAGAGAAAGACTTCTCAGAAGGCGCGAGGGCTTCTGAGAAGTCCCGTTGCCTTCTGAGGAGGCCTTCTCCTTCTCACTTCTCCCCCTCGCTCGCCGCCGACAAGCACGGCCACGCGCCGCCGGCTCGGGCTGCGAACCGCGCCAGCCGTGCCCGTGCAGGAGGCGCCCCGGGATCACAGGCGGTGGGCAGAACCAGGCCACTCTGCGTCGCCCCTCGCGCTGCGCGAGGCGCGATCCCGAGTCGCCGCGCTCTCGCAACGCCACGCTGAAGATGACGATGGCAATGCCAACGACGATGCTGAGGACCACACTCGTCATCATCATCATCATCATCATCATCATCATCAGCATCATCAGCATCATCATCATCATCATCATCATCATCCACAGCATCATCAACATCATCATCAACATCATCATCAACATCATCATCGTCATCATCGTCATCATCACAACCGTGATACAAATCCGAATCATCATCCGGATCATACTTATCCCGAGCATCATACAAGGTCATAAGCATACGCAGCATCGTCATCATCACCATGACAATCACCACCACTGGTGTCACCATCATCGTTACCATCATCCGCATCAACCATATTATCGTCATCACCATCATCGCCACTATCGCCATCGCAATCAGCATTAATTCATAATCATCATTACCATCACCATCACCACCACAACCATCATCATCATCATCATCAGCATCATCATCATCCGCATCCTCATCATCATCCTCGCCACCATCACCATCACCAACGTCATCATCATCATCATCATCATCATCATCATCATCATAATCTTCATCATCAGCATCACCATCATCATCACCAGCATCCAGCATCATTATGTTCAGCGTTATCATCATCATCATCAACATGGCCATCCGCATCATCATCATGATCATGCCGATGAGGCTGATCATCGCCATCATTATCACCACTACCATCACCAGCAACATCACAATCAACAGCATGGTCATCACCACCACCATCAGCAACAGCATGGTCATCATGCTTTTCATCATCATCGTCAGCATCGGCATCATCATCATCAGCATCAGCATCAGCATCAATTTCATCAACATCTCAACATCATTTCTATCATCATCAGCATCATCATCAGCGTCATCGTCATTATCACCACGATCATCTCATTTTCCCGGAGGAAATTGTCGTAACCACCAGCATCGGCATCGTCACTGCCAGTAGCATCGCCATACATAGCCTGGCGAACGGCCGAACCATATGCAACAGTGAGTGCCGCGAGGTAGGTGGACACAACCATAAGCATAAGGAAACAAACTAGCAAACGGACTATGGCGTGGGAAGGACGGAATGACATTGCTGCGTTGGTGGTGGATGTCGGCCGTACAACGACGTTCCGTCGGGATGTCACCCGTTACGGCTGGTCTGCGCGCCTGTCGGCGCGATCCCCCCCCCCGGGCGCATGCGGCGGGGTACTCGGTGGAACTCCCTATGGGGCCACGAACCGTGCGAGCAGTGCGCCGAAATCGGCGCGGTCACGTATGCGGGTCCTGCAACTCGGGCCGTCGGCAGGGACCCTACGGGGCCAGGACACGTGTGACGGTTTCGCCGACATGGGCATGGTCACGCATGCCATTCTTGCCACTGGGGCCTTCGGTGGGACCCCCTATGGGGTCACGAAACGGTTGATGGGGTGCGGGGAAATGGCGTGGGGAAGGCATGCGACCGCAGCCACTGGGGCCTTAGGTGGAGCCCCCTTATGGTGCCACGAGGCGTGTGAGGTGCAGCAGGGCTGCGAAACAGCACGTTTGGGCCTTGGGTGGAGCTCCCAACTGAGGCCACGGAGCATGTCAGGGGTGCGCCGGCAATGTGCGAACCATGATTGCGGGGCCTTAGATCGTCTGCGGGGCGCGCCGCCGACATGCCGTGGGGAGGGCATGCGAACCAGGGCTGTTGGGCCTCGAATGGAGCCCCCAGATGTGGTCACGGACCAGGGGTGCGCCACGGTGAACACGGCATGCCCGTGGGGCCACAGCATGTGCGAGGGGTGCGCCGAAATGTCCTGGAGACGGTACGCGAACCAGGATTGATGGGCTGTAGGTGGAGCCCCGATCTGGGGCTACTACGAAGCGTTTGCAAGGTGCGCCGAAATGGCGTGGAGACGGCATGCGAACCAGGATTATGATGCCTTAGGTGGGGCTCCCTATGGGACCACGGGACGTGTAATGGGGGAATCGACTTGGTGTGCAGAAGGTATGCAAACCAGGATTGTGGGGCCTTAGCTGGAGCTCCCGATGGGGCCACTAAGCATGTGAGGGGTGCGCCGGCATGGCGTGGAGGAAATATGCGAATCAGAATGTCTGAGCCTTAGCTGGAGCTCCCTATGGGGCCACTAAACGTGTTAGAGTTAGCCGGAATGGCGTGCGGGGCAGAGGCAGGTATGGAGGGAGGGAGGAGGGGAAGGATGAAGGAATGAATGAGGCGCGGGGCGCTGTCTCTTCAAACCGAGGGCCCAACACCACAAGATCGTTGGAAACAACAACAACCACACACTCACCATCACCACAATCGTCGCCGTCACAGCCAACATCACATAGACCATCGCCACCACCACCACCACCATTACCAACATCGTCGCAATCGCCATCGCCAACGTTCTCATCAGCATCATCAGTATCACCACCGCCACCACAATCATCAGCCAACAGCTTCAACATCAGTTTCAGCACTGGCATAATCATCACGATCATCATTATCATCATCATCATCATCATCATCATCATCATCATCATCATCGTCATCATCATCATCATCATCATCATCATCGGTATCATTATCATCGTCATCATCATCGTCATCATCATGCTCATCAGCATCAGCATCATTATTAGCATCATCCCCATCTTCATCACGATCATCGGCATCATTTCCATCATCAACAACATCATCAGCATCAACATCATCACCATCGTCATCATCATCGGCATCATCGCCATCATCACTACCGCAACAGCGACATCAACTTCATCATCATCACCGTCATTGTCACCACCACCATCATCACCATCACACTCATCATCGTCACTGCTGACAAAGACAACTTCATCACCATCACCATTATCATCATCATCATCAACATCATCATCATCACGATCATCGTTACCGTGACCATAATCACCATCATCATTAGCAGCGAACGCAAACGCGACACCCACTTCATCATAATCAGCATCACCACCACCATCGCCAAGGACAACATCAGCACCACCACCACCATCATCATCATCATCATCATCATCATCATCATCATCATCATCATCATCATCATCATCATCATCAACATCAACATCACCGTCATCACTATCAACCTCATCATCAACATCATCAGCATGACCATCATCAGTAGTAACGAATGAAAAAGTACCACCCGTTTCGTCGTCATCAACATCGCCTCTACCATCGCCAAAGACAACATCATCATCTACATCAGCTTTACCACCAACACCACCATCACCACCATCATCATCACCATCATCAGCATCATCAGCAGCAGCATCATGATCGTCACCGCCATCGCCAGCATACAGCAGCGCCACCATCGCCAATAAGTCGAGCCTGTCCCCCTACAGGGGGATTTTGGATGTTTTTTTAAACCAAAAAATCCAAAATATGGCCAAACATACTAAAAAAATAGTCCCCGGAGCATTCTGTGACTATTCTTGAATGCACACCCTGTAGAGGGACAGGCCGCGCCTTCACTGCAGACCCTGGCGCCCCGCCCCCGCCCCCGCCGGCGAAGAGGAGGCCCCCGGCCACGGCCATCCGGGTGATGCCGACGTAGGAGCCGACGCCTCCGCGGCGGCGGGCCGAGAGGCAGAGGGCCGCCCGCCCTGCGCCTGCGTCCTTCTCCTCCTCCTCCTCCTCCTCCTGCTCCTGCTGCTCCTCCTCGTCCTCCTCCTCCTCCTCTCCTCGTCCTCCTCCTGCTCCTCCTCCTCCTCCGCCTTCTCCTCCTCCTCCTCCTCCTCCTCCTCCTCCCTTCGTCCCATTCTCTTCCTCCTCCTCCTCCTCCTCCTGCTCCTCCTCCTCCTCCTCCGCCGCCTCCTCCTTCGTCTCCTGCTCCTCCTCCTCCTCCTGCTCCTCCTCCGTTTCCTCCTCCTCCTCCTCCTCCTGCTCCTCCTCCTCATGCTCATGCCCCTCCTCCCCCTCCACCTTCTCTTCCTTCTTCTTATGTGTATGTTTCTAATTCTTCTTATCATCCGCCTCCTCCTCCTCCTCCTCCTGCACCTCCTCCTTCTCCTCCTCCCTGAGATCCGACGGCGCGAGCAAAAACTGAAGCATCGGTAAAAAGCCACGACTGAAGCCCCCCAAACCCCACCCTACTGAGGCATCTTGTTCGAGCCGGAGCATCTGCGAGGCCCAGGGGCCCGAGACCTAACAAAAACGACAAGCTCGGAAAAATCGAGGCGCCAAGAGAACTCGGGGATTTACAGACCCAGAACTCGGCGCTCATGGACGAGAGTCGACCATAATTGACGCTAAATCGACGCTTGCTCATCGATTACCGAACGCTGGCGCACACGAAGGTACCCTGAATAATAAATTCCGAGGGCGCACCAGGAGGCTCCCATGATGTACTACCGCAGGAAAGAATCGGTGTGCACGTTAACAGGAGATATGTCGACCCCTATCCCAGGATCTGGGGCCCAGCCTTGAGATATACAAGGGACAGCGCCCATCCTCGAGAGGGGTGCGTCCAAATAGTCCCCATTGGGGTATATCCAAGGGTTCCCCTCCTTTTCGTTTTTCGCTTTTCGTCGAGAAGCCAAGGGTTAGGATAGAAACATCGCCTGTGATTTTTCGCCTCTGACGTCAAGGACCCCTGGGTCCCCCTGAGCTCGAGGCGCGGTTCGTTCGAAGGCAGGGGGGCCGCGCTCATCTGCAGACAGAGGCGAGATTTAGCCACATCCACCGCCTGGGAACCGACGTCTCCTCCTCCTCCTCCTCCTCCTCCTCCTCCTCCTCCTCCTCCCTCCTCCTCCGCCCTCCGCCCTCCTCCTCCTCCTCCTCCTCCTCCTTCTCCTCCCCCTAGCCGTTCTGCGCTCAAGCTGAGTTTTGCTGACGCGTTTCTTCAGAGCGGCTCGCGTCTGCGGGCCAAAGTGTCTCGGTGGGAGGCCCTATCCTCCCAAGTTTTTTCACGATTCCTCTCAGACAGCTGCGATGGGGTATCAGTGGGCATCAGGGCGCTGGTCAGATCATAGTCCTCCGTGGCGTGGAGATCAGCCTGCTGGTGTGCCTCCTGGTCCTCAGTTTCCCCGTCCTCTGCAGCCTGGAGCGCAACTCTGGCCGGGGCCAGCTTCCGCGCACCAGCCTTCAGGAGGTGGAGGTCAGAGATGGGCATGCTCCAAGTGCCCATGTCGTCGCAACGCTGCCTCAGCCGTTTTCTGCAAGCACTGCAAGGCCCCGCGCGAGTACTACCCGTCGGCCCATGGCTGGCAATATGGTGCTCCTGGGGCTGCTCAACCACCTGGCTTCTTCGGTCTGCCTCGTCAGGCCCCAGTGTTCAATGGTGGTCGAGCCCCTGCACCACCTGAGGGTCCACAAGCCGAGCCCCTACCCGATGCTGGTGGAATGGATGACAAGGAGCTCGTGGTCTTGGTGGCCAGCCTCGGCAAGGCAGGTGATGCAGTCGGTGCAAAGAAGTTTCAGGCTATTCTGGACGCGAGGAAAGCACCTGCGCTTGAGGTGCCTGTGGAGCGCAGAGTCAATCAAGCGTTCCACAACCTTCGTGCCGCGGAACAACGCCTGCAGAAGAACGTCACGCTCTTTACCAACCTGGAGCAGTCTTTGGAAGCTCAGCGCAAGCTCGTGGTCACGGCCAACGACGAGTACAAGCAGGCAGAGCTGGAGCACCAGCGCTTGGTTGCTGAGCTGGCTAAGAAGTCGGGGCCTAAGGCGGGACCTCCGCCCAAGCCTCAGGTCACGATCAAAGATATCATGGACGGCAAGACGCACGAGCTCATCACGCTCGGCGATATGTTCTCTTTCGGTGATGACGACTACGAGCTTTCCACAGAAGACAAGAAGGCAGCAGACTCTCTGGTCGAGCAGCTCAATGCTGGCCTCAAGGAGGCCACCACGAAGGTCTTCGCGGAGGCGGCGGCTGCGGTGGAGAAAGCAAAAGCGGATCATCAGGCGCTGCTGGATCGTCTGGCAGGGAAGCGCCGTCGTCGCGATGAGCCTGCAGGCGGACCTGCCCAGGTACCGCCTAATCAGCCAGGTGGCGCAGCGGCCCCGCCGCCTGCCGCCGCTGCCTCTGAGGGAGGGGGAGCGGGCGGTACGGGTGGGGGGGACGGGGCACCTTCTGCTGACAGCTCGTCGGCCACTTTACGGGCTGCCGCCAGAATTGTGGCTGGTGGTTCCAGCACTGGCAATCAGAGTTCCTAGCAGGGTTGAGGCCGTAGCCTCACAGTATCACGTACACCCGATGTTTATTTCTTTGGCTGACGCCATCTCAGCTCGGCCTCCTGTGGAGATAGTGAGGCCTGAGCGAGTGAAGTTTTGCTCGAGAGGCCCCACCTGTCTCAAGCGTGGTCACGCGATTCAGGCTAGGGTTGCTCAGATCACTTCTCTGCCTGGACCTCGGGACCCTGTTTATGTGAAGCCGTTTGTTGCCCAGGATACCCCTCCTCACGTTGATGCGGTCGCCTTGTCTTTTGAGACTTGCAACGTGTCGGGGTGGAAATCCTCGGGTAAGTCTTGGCTCTCCAGGTCCCAGGCCCATGTTGTTGTTTTGCAAGAGCACCACTTAGCTTCTCAGGAGGACATCCTCCAAGCCTCTGCCTGGGCCCTTCGAGCGGGGTGGAAAAGTCTGTGGGAGCCTGCCTTGGAGTCCGAGTCAGGAGGCACGTCTGGAGGGGTTGCTATACTTTGTCGCAGTTGGCTGGGCCTCCATCGTCTCCCTGACGTCTCCAAGTTATTGCACCGCGTGATGGGCGCGGCCGTTCAGATTCCTGGGGGTTTGGAGGTCTCGGTTTTCTCGGTTTACATGCAAGACGGTAAGAAGCTGGAAGAGCCCAACAGCACGCTCTTAGCCGACCTCGGGGCGGCAGTCTCATCTTGTGGGTCGTCTTGGTGTATTGGCGGCGACTTTAATTTCCACCCGGCCTTGCTGCAAGAGTCGGGATTTGACGTTCGATCTGAAGGACGGGTAGTGTTTCCTGATGTCGTGGGGACCTGCACGACGACGGGGGGGTTACGTTTGAGCGATTTCTTCGTATGCAGTCGAGGCCTTAGTTCGGCTATTCGAGGTGTGTCCGTGATCACCGAATCCGACCTCTCTCCTCACTCGCCCGTTCGGCTGACCCTTTTCCCTCAGATCGGACGTCTGCGTTCGCTCGCGTTCAGGAAGCCTCCTAGGATCCCTGTCGAGAAGATGGTGGGTCCGCAGCTGGCTCCTCCCGATCTGACGAGCCTTCTCGCCAAGCTTCAGAGCGGTGTCGTCACTGCTCGATCTGGCGATGGGTTGCGCACTCAGGAGATTTTAGACCAGTGTTATGGGGAATGGGCTGATGCGGCCGAAGTCGAACTCACTCGTGCCACTGGGGTCGACCTCCCGAGGATGGGCCTTCGAGGCCAGCCCCCCAAATTGGTTTGGCGTTCGGTTATGGATCAGGATGTTCGCAACCCTCGCAACCCGTCCCTTTTCGCCACCAGATGGCTCTGGCAGCGTTTTCAGGTGCTTGTCGGTATGCTCAGCCAGGGAGCGCCGCTTGAGGCGGCCACTCAACCTCTCCTCCAGCCTTCGGCGTCTATTTCGAGCGCTCTGGGGGAGCACGGCCTGCTGCTCTGCGACGTTCAATCCTTCGCTGCGGAGGCCGAGTCGTCCCCGAGCACGGTGGACATGGAGGTGGCGCTAGTTTTAAAAGATCGTATCCGTGGTGTCCTGGACCAGACCATCCATGAAACTCGCTCGGCCTCCCAGGCGCCCTGGAGGCAGTGGGTTTTGGAAGGGTTTAACAAAGGGGCCAAGCGGGCCCACCTGGTCACTCGTGATCCTAAATCCTTTGTGCCCACCACCACCCTCATTGATGGAGACCGTGTTGTTAGCGACCCCCACAACCTTCTTCAGCGTGAGGAAAGCAGGTTCAGGGCCCTCTGGAGGGCCCAGGTGTCGGCCCCGACCCCCCCCGCCACCTTCGACCCTGCCCCTGATCTCCCTCCCATCAGCCCTGATGAGATAAGGAGTGTCTGTGGGAGGCACAAAGTTTTCTCGGCCGTCTCGACCGACGGCTTCCACGTCCGCCATTTTGCCTGGCTGTCTGAAGCCAGTTTGCAGTGCCTGGCTCTCATTTTGCAGATGATGGAGATTTCCTCTTTTCTCCCTTCTCACATTCGGGTTGTCATCCTTCATCTGATCCCTAAAGCTCTTCCTGGTCTCAGGCCCATTGGTTTGTTCGGAGGCCTTTATCGGGCCTGGGCTAAAATTCGGAGGCCGCTTGGCCTGGCCTGGGAGGAGGCCAACTATAGGCCTTGGTTTGCCGCGGGACGCTTTATGGGAGCTGCTGACACGGTGTGGCGTCAAGCTGCGCGGAGTGAAGGGGGGGTGGCCGATGGCCTCTTTGCCGTCACTCTTTTGTGGGATTTCCAGAAATATTATGAAAGCATTGATCTCGACCGTATGCTGGGCAGGTGTCTGCGTTTGGGCTTTCCCGCTGCGGTGGCGCGTCTCTGCTGTTCAGCATACAGATGTGCGCGGCACATCGTGTTAGGTGGTTTCATGACGGACGCCAGTTTCGCCAGCTTCGGCATCGTGGCCGGCTGCTCTTTTGCAACGACGCTTATTCGAGTCAACAGCCTGGAAGCTCTCGACCAGATCGAATGGCCCATTTGTACTACGTACGCTCTATATATTGACGACAACGCAGTTCACGCCATTGGTTCGGAGTTCGAGGTGCTCGAAGGGCTGGTCTCCGCCAGTTCGCAGTTGGTCGTCGCCATCTCTGAGGGGATCGGCGCCACCCTGGCCGAGGACAAAGGGGCTCTAATTTCGTCCGACAAAAAACTTGGTTGTAAGGTCCAGGAGGCCATCGGGGTGGCCCTCGCGGGGCCCTTGGTTTCTTCGGCCCCGAATTTAGGCGCTGACGACACGGTGGGTCGCCCTGTTCGGCAGCAAGGTCGTAATGCTAAAGCCAAAGCCCGTCGCATCAAGGCTTCTCGTCGGGGTAGGCGCGTGGGGAGACTCGCTCGTACGGTTGGACGCAAGGCTCGAAAGGTCTGGTGCTCTGGAGTCCTTCCTGCTGCCACTTACGGCGCTGAAATCTCGGGGATTTCCGACGGGGAACTTTTGGCTTTAAGACGGTCCTTTGCCAGTACTTTCAAGCCGAGTGCGGGCGATCGCTCGCTTTCGATTCTTCTTCATCTGGAAAAGGACCCCACCTGGGCGGTGCAGATTGCTCCGATTTGTAGGTGGCATAAGGAACTCTGGCACGCCCATCTGTCCTCTCACCCCTCGGTTTTGAGTTTTGCTGAGATGAGAGAAGTGTGGGGGTCTGTTTTCGGTTTGGAATCCAAGTCATGGAGATCTGTTTCAGGTCCAATCTCAGCCATGAGGAAAAGTCTCGAGAGGATCAGTTGGCAGATGCCCAACTTCGCCACGCTGATCGACGATCGCGGCGTGGAGCTGCCGTTGCTGTGCCTGTCGCCTGCTCTCGTGCGCCGTCTCGCGATGGAGGCGGTCTTCAGACAGCTGGAGTGGACGATTGGAGGCAAGCTTTTTCTCCCTGGTCGAGGCTGCCTCGATGTCGTCCATGAAGCTCTAGCGACCAAGCGTTTTTCTCCGCTGGAAAAGGGCATTATTCGAGCCTGGTGCACGGGTGCGGTGTGGACCCGCATCTACGCCAGATCCAAAGGGTACGAGTTCCCTGAGTTTTGTGAATTGTGTGGGAAGGCTCGTGACACTATGTACCACAGGTTATGGGTTTGTCCCTGTTTGGACGCCAAACGTCGTGAAGCTGTGGGGGATGATATCGTCGACGGGGTGACGGACTTCGTTTCTCAGGGAAGACATCGTTTGACTCTGGTTACCCGAGGCATCCTGGCTCATCCTGGTGACGAACACCCCCCCCCGCTCGAAGAGGGTTCCTGGGACGTCTCGTGGCGTGGGGACCCGCCTTCTGACAATGTTTTCAGCCTCCAGGGTAAAGTTTTTGTTGACGGTTCCTGCTCTCGGCACGTTATAAAAGAGCTGAATCGTGCGTCCTGGTGTGCGGTTTTGTTTTCCGACGAAGATGAGCTGCTGTGTACTATGAGATGCCCTGTGTGGGCCCCGCTCCCCCAGACCCCTCAAGCTGGAGAGTTTTCGGGATACTGGGGAGCGGTAATGTGTCTCACTGGCCCCAGCACGATCATCACTGATTGTGCAAACGTGGTTACCCAGCATGAGCTTCCAAGAGTTGCTCAAACTTTTTTCAAACGTTTGTACTCTGGCGTCTTTGTTCAGCTGTTGTCTAGGCCCGAGCGTCGTCACATTCGTGAAGTGCTCAAAATCAAGGCTCACCAGCCTTTGTCTGAGGAAGGCATCTCTGCTCAGGAGGAAGCCGATCGTCTAGGGAACCACTTGGCCGACCTAGGGGCTAAGGAGGCCCTTGCGTTCCATCCATCAGATTCTAATGTGCTGGAAGAAGCAAATGAGAGTGTGAAGTTTGCTAGGGCAGCCTGCAAGCTCGCGGCTAAGCTGCTGCCTGAGCTTGCTGCCCTCAGCTCGATCAAAGATGTGCCTTACCTCCCTGGTGTGAGCGTGCCTAGAGCTGCTTCAGGTGACGTTCACAAGTGGTTTAGGTTTGAAGGTTTTTGGCGCTGCTCTAGGTGTTTCCAGATTCGTCGGCCTCGGGACGGTTCGAAGCCCATCCCTGGTCGTTGCTCCGGTTTAAAAGCCTTCAGTGCCGACAAGCTCACCGCCCTTCAGCACAAGTGTGTGATGTTCCCGTGTAGCGACGGGTCTGAGCTTGTGATCTGTATGAAGTGTAAGTTTTACTCCTCCCACGGCACTCTGCGTGGGCTGGCTGCTCGCTGCGACCCCCCTCCCAGCAAGTTCGGAGTCTGGGTGTGGCAGCAGATCTGCAAGAGCCGTCACCCAAAGAGGAAGGGGGTGGTGGTGCAGTTGGGAGTGAATCTTCGTGACGGCTCTAATCTGTTTCAGGACGGTTTGCCCGAGGCTGGGAGCGAACCCGTGCCCCCTCCTCCTCTTCCGCCAGCCGCCCCTTGCCCCCTGCACCCGCAGAGCGAGTTGGCAGGTCTTTCGAGGGAGGAAGAGAAGGCACGCGAGTTCCAGGCCAGGGTTCGTCGTCTTTGCATCGCGGCTGGCGCCGCTCCGTCGTCCCCAGCTCAAATTTCCAAAGCTGACCAGGACGACTCAGATTAATAGCCGCTCTAAATTTTGTTTTACTTCTGGTCGAAGGTGTTGCACAGGTCTCACGTTTGTCCAGACAGGCTTTTGGCATCGGGTTCTCAATCCTTCAGGGATTCGAGACTGCCATCGCCTCGTCGCCTCCCTTCACCCACCTGTTTGTGGGTGACTACAGGCGCCTTTTCTTGTTGCAGGCTGCAAGCGCCATGTGCAGCCTGGATGCAAGCCCCAATGCGGGACAGTGAAGGTGGTTGAAGCCCCAGGGGGAAAAAAAAAAATCCTTCTCCTCCCCCTCCAGCCCGTGGCCCCCTTGGGCTGGAGGCGCATGCGGGGCAGCCTCCCGCTGGCTCGTCCGAGGGCAGCGTCAGCTCCACCTCCGAGGGGTGGGGACGACCGGCGGAGAAAGGCCGGAGGGACAAACGACGACGACAGCAAGGAGCCGGGGGAGGAGGAGGAGCAGGGGGAGGCGAAGCAGGGGAGGAGGAGGAGGAGGAGGAGGAGGAGGAGGAGGAGGAGGAGGAGGAGAAGGAGGAAAAGGAGGAGGAGGAGGAGGAGGAGCGGAGGAGGAGGGGGAGGAGGAGGAGGAGGAGGAGGAAGGAGGAGGGCGGAGGGCGGAGAGGCGGAGGAGGAGGAGGGGGAGGAGAGGAGGAGGACGGGGAGGAGGAGGGGGAGGGAGGAGGAGGAGGAGGAGGAGGAGGAGGAGGAGGAGGAGGAGGAGGAGGAGGAGGAGGAGGAGGAGAGGAGGAGGAGGAGGAGGGGGAGGGAGGAGGAGGAGGAGGAGGAGGAGGAGGAGAGGAGGAGGAGGAGGAGGAGGAGGAGGAGGAGAGGAGGAGGAGGAGGAGAGGAGGAGGAGGAGGAGGGCGGAGGAGGAGGGCGGAGGAGGAGCAGGAGGAGGAGGAGGAGGGAGGAGGGGGAGGAGCAGGAGGAGGGAGGAGGGGGAGGAGCGGAGGCGGAGGAGGAGGAGGAGGAGGCGGAGGAGGAGGAGGAGGAGGACACGACGACAACGGTCATCGCGCTACCACGAGGAACGCTACATGTCGGTCGGGAGAAGTGGGCAGAAGCACGTCGTAGGAAGGCGTGGGACATGGATTGGGCTTCCGCCCGCCCTCTGAGGACGACGACAACGGACACATGACAGATCATGTCAACCATCGGAGGAACGCTACCCGCATGCCGGCAGAAGTGGGTAGAAGCACGTAGAAAGAATAACATGCTCCGTGGGGCGTTCCACCGTGGGGTTTTCGAACGGACTTGAACTTGGGGGCCCAACACTGGGATATACGAGGGGGGCGACCATCCTCGATAATTATGGGGTGCGTCCGAATAGCTTCTGGGGATGTATCCCAAGGTTCTCCTCCTGTTCGTAGCCGTTTTATTTGTCATCGAAAAGTCGGGGTGCATCGCCTGCGACGCTACACAACGGGCGGAACAAGTGGGTAGACAAAAGTAGGAAAGCGTTGGAATGATATTGGGCTCCCGCCCGCCCCCTGAGGACGAGGGACACAAAAAAGAACGCCGCTCGATCCTTGAAGTGAAAAAAGGCGCCCACAGCAAAGCAGATCTGGGATCTGGGAAGGAAGATACCTACTTCCAACGGCCAGCGGGCACAGCCCTCGCGCTGCCATAAGTGCAGGGGCCCTGGGGCACACCAACAAATACACACAGATAACAAGACTCCCCGTATGTTCCGATATTCCCATATTTTCGGGGTCTCTGTCTTCCCCCCACTGCCCATATCTCCCCATACTTTCAGGGGATCGACGATTCATTGTGTCTCTCTGTTGTCTCCTCCGGAGTAAAATAAGGAACCGAACTTTCTACACCGATGCGTCTTTCCGGCCCCGCGCTGAGATTCGCACAGGGAAACGGATTCTAGAGTATAGTTACGGCACCCTGGTGTATACATGCTCTCTTGCTTCCACGGGAACACGGGGAAACAAGCATACACCACACCACCCCCACATCGTCCATTTGGACGCCCGAAATGGGCACGGAAAGAATGGGCACGATGCCCAACAACAGATGTTGTCCCAAACCAACAGCGGCCGCTGTTGGGCAGGCGGCCTTCTGTCTCGAATGGACACAAGCCGCGGCGGCGTGGACAGCGAATCAGGTTCAAAATGAACAAGAACTGCTGTTGGGCACCGCACCCCTTCTTTCCGTGCCCATTCCGGGCGTCCGGAATCCCTGATCAAAGACTCCTGGGATTGAAACACCGCCCGCCAGACTTATGTCGGCGGTTTTTTTCCTTATGCCGCTGCACCCTCTCCCGCCAGTCATGAAGGGTCCTCCTGCGGGTGAGGCTTGCAAGGCCCACAGGCGCCAGCGAGGACTGGCATAGCCCACAGGCAGATCTCAAACAAGTCTGGTAGTGTATACGCTCCAGTTTCCGAATTTGTTCTCCTCCTGAGTACGGCGCGCTGCACACCAAGACACCACACGCCTGCACGAATGGACACAAGCCGCGGCGGCGTGGACAGCGAATCCGGTTCGAAATGAACAAAAACTGCTGTTGGACACCGTACCCATTCCTTCCGTGCCCATTCCGGGCGTCCAGGGATTCCCTGATCAAAGACTCCTGGGATTGAAACACCGCCCGCCTCTGGTAGTGCATACGCTCCAATTTCCGAATTGGTTCCCCTCCTGAAAACGGCGCGCTGCACACCAGGACACCACACGCCTGCGCCTGCCCTGCCGGGCACGGCACGCCTCGGCCACGCACGGGCTCTCCCCCCCGGCCCGAGCCCGAGGACCGGCTCGAACGCCGGGGCCCCTCCAACCGGCCTCGAACGCATCCCTATTCCTAGGATTATGTCGGGCGTGTCCCCCCCCAGGGGCATTTTCGATGAAAAATACAGCTATTTTCAACAATGCTCAAAATAAGCCAGAAAAGTACTAAAAAGATACTCTCCATAGTTTTTTGAACTATTTTTGAATATTCCTCCTGTAGAGGGACAGGCCCGACTTAACCCTAGGATTAACAAGCCAAGAATCGACGACAATATCAGGGATGCGCCCTCAGAAACGGAGGGAATCCCTAAGGTCGGCATCGAGATGAGGCGATGCCAATCACAGGGATAGGGATTTGTTCCAGGCTGGTGACCCTCCTGGGCCCCCAAACGGTCCTCATCTCAACATCTTGACCGTACCGATGCTCTGATGTTCCCCAGGCCTCGCTTTAACTAGGACGAAGCCAAATCGAGGAGAACATCGGGTGGGGATAAATCGAGAATCTCTGAAATCCGGCGGCTCTGAAAAATGTCTTTGGGGCGCCGCGGCCTTCTCGGAGCGTTCAGGCACGCTCTGAGAGCGCTCCCGAACGCGCTGGAACGGATTTATCCTGGAAGGTTTCTTTCTAACAAAAAAATCAGTCGGCACGACCGCGTTGCCAAGGGCAGCACTGAGCTGCCGTGGACTGCCCATGTGGTGCAGCTTCTAGGAGCTGAACAACCAAGAAGCATGCATTGACTGTACCCGTCGGTCGGAAGAAGTGGGCGGAAACATGAAAGAGGACGGCGTTGGAAGCAGGTTGGGTCTCCGCCGCCCCGTGAAGACGAAGGAAGAAGGACAACCACTTGGTCAATGAAAGTAGGAGGGCGCCTCAGGCAGATTGGGGTCTGAGAGTCTATAGACACCTATATACTTCCAGCGACCAGCGTATATTGATGTTTTGATGCTCCTAGTGTGTCTTGCTCGTGTTCCGAAGCAATTGGCGGGGAGTTCTGGGATCCAGTCCCGTCGCCGCCCAGCGCCTCGTGCGCGTTTCGTCGGCCTGGGCTGGGAGTTCTGAGTTGTCGCTCTGTCGCAGCCCGTGGGCGCTTCGTGCGCGGCCTTGGAACTCGAGTTTTTCGTTTCGTAGACGCCCGTGGGCGCCTCGTGCGCTAGCTGGGAGGTCTGGGTTTTCGCCGCGTCACCACCCGTTGGCGCCTCATGGGACTCTCGCGCACCAGCTGGGGCTTCTGGGGTCACGCCGTCAAAGAAAGTGGAAGCCTCCTGCACCGGATGGCGTCTCTGCGTGCACACACACACACACACACACGCAGGTGGTTCCCGTTAGTGTGTGCGACACATGTTGCTCACCATTGACTACTTGTCGTAGACATACTAAGAATAGATTCCCCCACCGTGGCCGGACGATTTATCTACATCCCTCCGCGTATTGATCCGTTCGTATTTATCCCCCACCAACGTGGAATTTTTGTTCTCTGGGCACCCCGCGCAGGACCAGGAATACCCTCTCCCTTCTCACTCACACACTTACATACTCAAATCCACAGCATCATCATCATCATCATCATCATCATCATCACCGCATCAGCATCACTTACACACGCACACACACACTCTCATTCTCCAACTCACTCACTCATTCACTCACTCACTCATTCACTCACATCTACTAGTCATCACTCATCGTTACCATCTGCATTATCACCACACCATCGTCAACATAGCCTCGTCTGTGAATGAAGCGCGCGGAAGTCTTAAGCGGGAACCCCCTCCCTATGGGGCCCGCCGCTCACGTTTTCAATCCGAGCGGGCCATCGGAATCCTGTGGTTGACGTCGTTTCTGGGCCCCGGGAGCCTTACTATGCAGGAAGTATCAGGCGGGAGCCTCGTCTGTGAGTGAATTGCGAGGAAGTCTCTAGCGGAAGCCCCCTCCCTATGGGGCCCGCCGCTCGCGTTTTCAATCCGAACGAATCATCGGAATACTGTATCGGTCGTCACTTTTGGGCCCCGAAGCCTGGATATGGAGGAAACATCAGGCGGGCGGCGACCGCGCTGTACATCGCGCTGGACGGACGCAGTGACAAGACGTGCAGGAGTCCACGTACGCACCACCACTTCGGGATAGCCCTCATCGTCCTGCACCTCGGCGGTTTCTTGCAGCTGCAACCCACGGGCAGCATCGGCCTCCCGACGGATGTGATCGAGCTCCTGGACGACGGGTCGCACAAGCGTGCGGAGCCGCTCACGGTGGAGATTCAGCACGCCATCAAGGTCTTCTCTCACACCCCGTGCGTTTTCGAACTGAACGGCACGAAGCGGTTCGAGCCCGGGTACCCTCTGATCACGTTATTGGACTGCACGTTTGCGCCTCCTGAACGTCCCGAGCGAGCACAAAACGGGGGCCATCCATGACGTCTTACTGGCCCACGTCGGCATGGAGGCGCGATTCACGGCAGCGAAAGGAAAACTGAAGAAGAAATTGGGGCTCGCGCAAGAACAACGGGCCACCATCGTATCCTTCGAGTTCCACCCCAAGGACGAGCAACGGTGCGTGGACTGCTCGCCGGGCAAGCTTTTCCACCCCCGCTACCTACAGCACGGAATCTGGCTGCAGGTGCACGGCTTCAAGGAGTCTCCGATCGACCAGGAGGTCGCCGAGGTGCTGCTACAGGGCGCCGAAGGCGCCAACGACGACAGCGAGGCCGAGGCGCGGGCGAAGAGCTTGCTCATGTTCGCGCCCAGTGAGCAGGAGCTCACGTGGCAGAGTTCGGGGCCGCACGCCGTGCGCCGTTCGGAGTTCACCATGACGCACGCGTCGTACCTCACCTCCACGCTGTCGCAGGGCCCGACGCTGCGCAAGGGCGTCGCCATCAACTGCGCGAGGGACGAGGACGCCGGTCGCACGGGCATGTCGGACGAGCAGTGGCGGCTGCACCTCTACGCCATTTCCCCCGCGCCACGCGCATGCGGAACATGCTGATCCTGCGGCGGCCGGCGCGAGAATTCCTGGAGCGAGGGCCGCAGGCATCCTTGCGGAAGGCGCTCCTGGAGCTCGACTTCAGAGCGGAAAGCTCCAGGGCAGAGGCGGAGCAGCTCGCGTCAGAGCTGGGTTTTGTGCGGCCCCTCGCCTGAGCGCGGCGGCGCCCAGCTCGGAGCCCGCGGGATTGTCCCAACGGCTTGGTCTCGCGCGCCAGCGGGTCGCGGGGTTGTCCCGACGGCCTGGCCCGCGGGGCTGTCCCCGGCGGCCGCGCGATTTCGCCCTCCGAGAACGCGCCCCTTCCAGGCGTGGCGGCGAGGGCGCCGAGGAAGAGAAGGAAGAGGTGGAGGAGGGCAAGGCAAACGCCGAGGAGGAGGAGGGACATGAGGAGGAGAGGGAGGAACTGGAGGCGGAGGAGGAGGAAGCGGAAGAAGAATAGGATGAGAAATGCAACGGGTAGGACGAGAAGGAACAGGAGGAGGAAAGGCGAGGGTTAAGCTCAATCGATTATCATGTGGGGTCCTACCGTCGTAGTAATTATGCACGGCTGGCCATCAAAAATATGAGACAATATCATGCGAATCAGTCCTAGTATGAAGCCCCCCTCACTCCTGCCAGTGCAGAACATGCGGTGCACATGCGTTGATTTAAACTGTGTTTTCTCTATGTCGGCGTGTGGGAGACGCTGTTATCTTTGACTCATCGTCGTCGTCGTTGTAGTCGTCGTCGTCCTTCTCGTCGTCGTCGCCGTTGCCGTCGAGTTTGATATCCTTTCCTTTGACCCGTTGCCGCTCCTCCCCTTCACTGGGCTCTCCTCCTCAAGCGAACTGGCCAACGCGAACCCATGGTGTAATTGAGCAACGTTTTAGTTGAGTCGAAGTGGGGCCCCTTCCCTTTGATCCCTGCCCCCTCTGAGGGGAGGGGAGGTCGAGAGGGGGATCCCGAGGGGGTTCTGGGTCGGGTCATGGGGGGAATCCTGGAGGGGGTCCAGGGTGGGGTCCTGGGGGGGATCCTGGGGTGTCCTGGGTCAGAATGCCATTCCCCACGGGGGTTTTCCCCTGACTTGGCCAGTCGCCGCTCCCCCTACCTTGGGCTCCCCTCCTCAAGTGAGCTAGCCAACGCGAAACCAAAGCGAAATTGATCAACATCGGAATCAGTGGAGTCGAACGGGACGCCTTTTCCCTTTGACCCCTTCTCCCGCCGAGAGGGTCCTGGAGGGGGTCACGGGGGGGTCCTGGGGGTGGTCCGGGGGGGGGGGGAGGGGGGGGATCCTGGGGGGAGGTCCCTGGGAGGGTCCCGGGGTCAGAGTACCATCTCCCCCCTGGGCGTCCCGGGGGAAGTCCCTCCTGTGGTCGGGGGGGGGGGGGGGGCCGAGCCAGAATGCTGCACCCTCCCCCAAAGGGGTCGCGGCGGGTCCCGGTGGGCGGCGCCAGCGGGGGTCCCGGTGGAGGTCCCGCCTTCCGGGTCGGCGGCACCGGCCGTAAGGCCTCCTTGCAAGCAGCACGGTGCGGGGCACGTGCGCGCGCCGCCGCGCGCGCATGTCAAGGCACGCAAGGGCCAGAGGTATTCGAAGGATTTCAAGACATCGCTGTTCCAGAGCCGGCAGCAATCTTTGGTTGAAATCACAAGGAACAGTGTGCAGCCATTACGTCAAGGGGAGCCCTTCGGGCCACGCGCGCGCATGACGAGACCGTTCAACAATCATCGCGCGCCCGCCTACTTTCAAACAATACTATGCGGGCCACACGCGCGCGTCCCCGCGTACGCGCGCACGTCACAATATGTGAACAATCAGTTGTGATCTCTAATACTTTCGGCCCATAGGCGTTAAATCGATTAAAGACATATGGCAGGGATCCTGAATTCATGCGCTCGCGGACTTCCTCATCATCCTCATCAGCACTACGAATATCATCATCGCGGGCGTCATCATTACGTTCGTCATTGTCATCATCACCATCGAGGTCGTCATCATCACCAGCGTCATCACCATCGTCATCGCCGATGTAATCGCCATCGTTACATTCTGCGCGCGTGTACGTCCCCATCCGAACCAAACACCATCACCATCATCATCGCAGGCGTCTCATCACCATCATCAGCATCGTTTGGATGTTCACGTGAGGAGTCCAACTGAAATCAACGTTGGCCAGTGAGTAGTACATCACATAGGTCGCACCCCATAACTTACAATGAATACCTCGCACCGCAAATATTGAATGACATGTTTCGACTCACGCAGATGACGCCACATAGGTTTCTCCACACAAGTCGCACACAATATCATGCAACGCGCAGCTGGCACTATGTACAATGGAACACACACGCGCGCACAATTTATGTAGGCATACGTTGCACGCACAACGTGTGTACACTCCATGGTGTTGCACCACGGAGGTAGTATCGCAAATATTGCGCGACACGTACTGCAACACAGAGGTTGCACCACGTGCACATTGCACCACAGATGCTGCACATCGAAGAAACGTGCTAACCCAAAATTCAGGGTCCACGCTTCCGCACTTGCGAACATGATTGAATTGCTTTCGGCCCCTGGGAACACTTGCCCGGCCATGGGAAACTGCGGGGACCTGGGACCGTCAAAACTAGACCGGGATCAAAAGGCTCTTGATTCGGGGGCGCGCAAACATGGATTCGCGATCCATGGATTTGGCGCGCGGTCTCCAAATCCATGGATCGGGGGAGTTACCCTCCCCAAAATGCGGCTGGTGCCGCCTCGTTCGGCGGCGGGAATCCGCGATTTCCTATGGAAACGGGACCCGCCGCTAATCCACGCCCCCTTAATCCATGTGTGCGATCGCCTGAATGATGGACCCCAGGAGGGATCCAGGGACGGATTTTGAGTTGACGTCGGATGACGACGACGAACATGACTGCAGGGGCGGCGATCACGGTCGAGAGGTCGTCGGCATCCGAGCGAGGAGAGGAAGACTAGCAGCCAACACAGCAGCGACCAATCTAACGTACTTTTGCGCCGAAAGCAAGCGATGCCACAAGGCCCACGCACGAGGCTCGCTGACAAATCAGCAGAAGGGTACGCAGAACGCCGAGGATGCGGTGTCTGACAACATCGTGGCGACGCATGGTCAATGCGTGGACGTGTCCTTAGTATTCGGTAACCCACGCTTTACAATCTCAATCCCCCTGGCCATTGGATCGCATGCGAATGCGGACCTCTTTACGTGAATGGGCCAACGCGCCCATGCACCCACTCGCACAAGCACGTGTACGCTCATATGTTGATCTACATAAATCACTAAGCCCCAGCACAAACGCGCTGGCTCGCGCCTGGCACGTGCACTAACACACCAACGCGCTGGCTCGCAGTTACAATACGCGCGCTCGCTCAGCCCTCGAGGGCAATTCAACCGATGGCGTACTGGCACCAGGTTCGAGAACAGGGCCACCCAAGCAGAACCTCGAGCAGAAGGTGTGATCGTAGTCCCGGCTAGTGAAATTTGGTTTTCAGCGCGTTCACAAAGTTGGCAATATAGATGCTACGTATGTTAGGGGACAACTTCTGGGAGGACTTCGTGAGAACGACGAAAGGGTTAATATGCCTGATGAAGGGTCCACTGAGCAGGACTAACCCGGATGAAGTAAGCCCGAGGTTAAGCCGAAGTAAAACGTATTAAGCTAGACGCAGAGGAATTCATCGGGGTTGAGCTGGATTGGGTTGGTTGTCCACCACGGAAATACCAGCGCCGATGATGGATGCTACCCTCCAGGAGTTACATCTTAACATCTGTCGTGTTACCCTCATTGCGGGAAGAAGACGCTTGCGAATGGTGAAACGCGTGTTGGACAGGCATCCACCATCTCGGGGTCGATGGATGGTCCGTCACTGGAGAGCCGCTAGCAGCTGACCTCCCGACGACAGCGTGCGCAGTGCGGCAAGGTCTGGCCCCTCGCCCCTCGCGGAGCCACTCCGTATCCAATGCCCAATGCTGCCACCACACAGGAAGAAGAAACGCCAAAGCGGCATAAACCATGAACTTCCAGAGACCCGCGCATATGTCTTGGATCTGCGCTGGGGCCCCCTTGGCGGCGCCCGGGGCGCCGCCAATGGGGCCTCAGCGCCTGTCCGAGGGATCCGGTCGGAGCGCCGAACGCGGATGAGTATGCAGCGGTCCCTTGTTCGCAAGATGAGGTGGAGGGTGGAGGAGGAGAAGCCTGTTTGTGCGGCGCGCCCGCTTGGCACTCTCGCGATGTGCGTGGCCTGTGCCCCCTCAGTTCATCCGCGACACGAGCTCGTTGATGAGGTCCTCCCGATTGCCCCACGCGCCGCCGCGCTGCTCGCAGAAGCCGTGGCGCTTCTTCTCGAAGCCGCCCTTTGGTGCGGACAGCTTGAAGGGCCAGAGGAAATTCGAGACCTGCTTGAATGCTGGGCCGACAGAATAAATCTCATGGATCAGGTCCTCCACGCCGTGGATGCCGTGATCTCCGACGGTGCCAGAGATGACTTCGTTGTCCGACAGCGGGATCCGCTGCTTGTTAACCTTGCCGAAGCCGCGCTTGTAGATGAGTTCGCGGACCGTTTTCAAGGTCGGGTAGCCGTAGGTCACGTACGGCTGCACGAGCTTCAACATGTTCAGAATGGGCTTGTTGACCTTCAAGAATACGCCGTTGTGGAGCTGCTTCAGCCGCAGCAGCTGGAGGACCTTGCGTGGCTTCGGGCTGAGCTTAATGATCCCGACGATGCGGACCACGAAGAGCAGCTTGGCCTCGGGCTCCACGAAGAAGTTGCCCGCCGACTTCGCCTGGCGGCGCAGGGCCACCAGCTTGCGCGTGTGCGTGGCGTACTCCTGGAGAGAGCGCACGTCGCGTGAGAAAGCCAAGCGCCGTCTGGGGCAGCGGGGTAGTCATGGGGAAGAGGAGCAGGGGGAACAGGGGAAGGAGCAGAGGCAGGGGCTGGCATGGAAAGTTTGCCAGTGGGGGCGGGCCAGAATGGGGGGGGCCGGGGGGGCCTCCTGATCTGCCTGTGGGTCCGCTCTTCCAGCTTCTCCCTCTCCCAACCGCTGTGTTTGTGAGCAGACGCAATCTTCTTACTGCACTTCTGCATTCAGCGAGGGCCGCCAGGGGCCGACCGAACACAGGTGGTGATGGTGGTGGTGGTGGTGGTGGTGGTGGTGTCGTGGTGGTGGTGTTGGTGTCGTTTTCCCTTGAGGAGCAACGACAGGTAATCTTTTGTCGTTTTCCCTTGGTGTCGTTTCTCCCTTGGTGTTGGTGTTGTTTCCCTTGGTGTCGTTGTTCCCTTGAGCTCAATGGGGGGGAAGCAGCGACCTCTAATCGGCGACATCGCCGGTAGATCGGTGCCATGCCCACGGTAAAACCTCCGCACGTTCCTGGGCGGCGCGGCACATCGGGCCCCCATCGGCGATGATTGGGCGTGTGGGGACACGTGCATCCCCCCCTGAACCTGTCCCCCCTTTGACGTTGCCCCTGATTCCACCCCTCCGAAGGAGGAGGGGAGGCCCGTCCTTCCTCGTCTGGAGGGCCCTTGGGTCCGGCGAGGGCCCCCCGAGGCCGCAGACGGACAGCAGAGCCTCACGTCGTGACGTCTCCCACGGCGCCAGCCCGTCTGGGCACGGGCTGGAGGTGGGAGTGGACTCGGGCGTTGGCAGAACTAGGTTTAGTGGGACCTGGTCTAATGATCTGTGCCGGGGACGCCCCCCCCCGTCCCAGTCCACTACCCGGAATTGCCGCCACCCGAGAAGACACCAGCTATGGCAGACCTGGTTTAGCGATTCTGGCCCATTCAAGGGCCCCGGAGCCCCTTCCCACTAAACGGGGCTCCTTACCTGGGGTCCTGGCCAAACCCGGTGGACCCCCCCGGTGGTGCTGGTGGTGGCGTCTGCTCTCTGCCCCGAGGGCAGGAGGCCCGTCCTTCTCGTACTTCAGCGTCCGCATCTTCAGGTCGTGGCGGCGCGAGGCCCTCTCCACCTTCTTCACCGCGGCGGCCTCCGAGCAAAGGATCGGCTACAGCATTGCTTTGCCCCAGAGTTGACTTCTCCGCCGAGCCCACGAGGAGGTGCGTAGACTGCCCGTGGCTCTGCGAGCATGTCTGCGCACGGCTAGGCGAGACAAAATCAGCTCTGGGGCACCTCGTTTCTGTAGGAGTCGGCCCCCTGCTCGAGGCCTTCTGCTTCTCCTCCGCCAGCGCCGCGTTGCGCTCGAGCTTCAGCTTCACCATCTCGGGCACCGCCGCGCCTCCGGGGGTGTCAGGAGGGGGAAAAACACACAGACACAATTAATCGTCCACTCCCAGGAAAATATGGGAAACTATGGGGATTGGGGGGGAGACAAAGACCCAGAAAAGATGGGACAATATGGGGAATCCTTTTATCTGAGTGAATTTGTTTGTGTGTCCCAGGGCCCCTCCAGGGGTGCCCACGCAGGGGCGCAGCCTCTGCCTCGCGGGCCGCGGCGACGTCGGGCCCGGCGGCGCGCCGTGCCCTGCCACAGATGGCAGCGCGTCGCTCCGCTCCGCAGGGCGGGGGGCCGAGGAGAGCTCGGGGAGCTGACGCTCGGGAGCGAGGTGGTGGTTAGCGTTACTGTGGGATGACGATTAAGAAAAAAAGAGGGGGGAACGATTAAAAAAACAGTTTCCCACACCGGGGGGGAACGCTCAGAAGCAGGGCTCGCCTGTGCGGTGTTTCGTCACCGGGGGGGCGCGCGCCCGAGGACGGCGGGGGGGGGACGATTAAAAAAAATAGTTTCCCAGCCCGGGGCCGGTTTTTTCTAATCATCATCCCGGGCGCCGCCGCGTGAATACGACCCCCGGTCTTTTTTTCATCATCATCCTCCATTAGGTGGGGCATGTCCTCCCACAGGCGGACTTTAGATGAAGAGCACAAGGTAGTCATGAACACCAAGCATGATCGGAACTGCAGTCGGGGCGTTGACCTAAGGAACCCAAAACAAGGATCGAGGCCCCTTTTATCCATAAGCTGAGCTTCGGTTTCCCATCGAAAACCTAAGGACAACCTTAGGCAAGTTGCGAAACAACTAAGGAACACCGAGCCCCTCCCCAGCAGCAACGTTTCCTTCTTCAGCGCCCCGACTGCAGCCCACAATCGTCCTCATACTCTTCTTTTACAATTCTTGGAGTGTTCCCCCTGTAGAGGGACATGCCCGACTTCAGGTTCGCGCGTCGCTCCCAAGCGTGCTGGGCCAGAACCGGCGGATCGACACGCTGAGCAGAGGCCCCCGACTGCACAACCTCTGGCCCCTCATTCGGGTCGGGCGAAAGGGGGGGATAGCAAAGGGGGGGGTTGAGAATCAGCTCACGTAGCTGATTTTCCCAGCGCCTCCAAGCGCCGGAGCAAATTTCGTAAACCCCCCCCCTCTCCCTATCCCCCCCTTTCGTCTGGCCCGACTCATGACCTGGAGGGGGGGGCGGCCGGCCTCTGCTCGTCGGAGTGCACGGAGAAGCGAGGGGTGGGGGCTGAGGATCGAGGTCCAGGAGGCAAGAGGAGGGGGGGGGGGAGAGGGGCGCACGGTCGGTCGGCCGGAAGAACGGAGAGGGAGCCGGGGCCGACACGAGAGGGAGTCCAGGGAGGGGAGGCGGGGGTCCAGTCGGACGGTCGGCCTGGGCGGGCTGAGGGGGGAGTTGCCCGGCGGGGCACCGGGGTCCACAAGGGGGCAAGGGTCAAGGGCGAGGGGCGTGCGGAGGGGGAGGGTGGGGGGCTCTCGGTCCAAATCCGTCCGGATCAGGGGGGGCGGGGAGACGGGGGTCGTGGCCCGCTTGCGGGGGAGCCCGGGAAAGTCCGGGCGGGCGGTCGGCCAGTCGGATGAGGGGGGAAGGGAGTGGTCGGGGACCAGAGGAGGGAGGATCCAGGAAGACGGGCGGGTGCGGTCGGAGGGGGGTGGGTGGGCGGGACCCCAGAGGGGGATGTGAACCACGAGGACATGCGGCCATATGGCCCGTCGGATTGTTACACACTGGTGCGTGGATGGGGAGAAAGGGGGGAAGAGAAAAGGAACGAGAGCGAGAGAGAGAGAGAGATATGGAGAATCTATATATATGTATATATAAATCCCACCGAATTACCAACACCACATGGGGAGTATGGGATACAGGTAGACCGTGATGGTCGAATCACTGATTCGTTGATTATTCCCGCCCGTCGCCCCCCTCTATGTCCACACAAACACACATGCACACACGCACACAGTACCCCCCTCATCCGACTCCGTCCACTACGTACCCATAACATATTCAAATTTACACTGTTCCTCGTGCTCGCCACGAACCTCATGAAGCGCTCAAAACCCTCTGGGTTGTCGTTCGCACAGCTTCAAACATAATATATATATATATATATATAGATATAGGTTATGCGGGGGCGTACTCAGCGGAATGATATCGTTAGCACCGAAGCAAATAAATGATTATTCCTCCGTCGACCGCACGTACTGCCGCACAGAAATACAAACCTTGCAAAGCCATGGTGCCAGGAAAACGCTTCCATATGCTGAATGCGTCATCGTTTCGCTGGAACGGGGGGCTTCTGAATCGCTCCATGCGGATATACCCTTCTTGCCCTCACTATGATGTTGCTCCTCCTCCTCCTCCTTCTCCTCCTCCTCCTCCTCCTCCTCCTCCTCTTCCTTCTCCTCCTCCTCCTCCTGCTCCTCCTCTTCCTCCTATTATTCCTCCTCCTCATCCTCCTTTTCCTCCTCCGCACACGCCTCTTCTCCTCCCTCATCTTTCTCTTCCTCCGATCACCCTCGTCCCCCTAGTTTCCCTCCTCCCCCCTCTGTAACCACTTGGCTCGAACACCAGGCAGCGGTGGGATGGTTCCCACTGACGCTGAAGTAGTGGAGCTGGAATGGCCCACTTCCGACCGCCGCTTCGACGCAACGGCGTCTCGTGACTGGGGTGCGCCACGTGGAGGTCCCGGCCAAATTGAGGTTCCGGCGAGCCTCCGCCCAACGCCCGGTGAGCCCGACAGGCGAGAGAAACAGCCAGGGGCGCGATCAGAGCGCACAGCCACTGCACTGCGTATCGCCGCGGAAGGCGTGGGGACCGGGCGGATCTGAGGCGAGACGGCCCGCGAATGAGGCGTCGAGCCCGGCGCGCGCTGAAACAGATTTCGCGCCATGGACAGCGAGAAGGACGCGTGCGAGGAGTGTGCTGGGACTCCGGCGCGCACGCGCCCTACAGCAACAGCGGAGGCATCGGGGCCCTGGGCGTTGCTGGAGCGCTTTTGCATGCTCCATTCCAGCGCAGCTCTGGAGAAGGAGGAAGCAATATGATGGGGAATGGCCTCCGAGTGCCAGATGGAATCGCCTGCTCTCAACGCGGGTGTTTGGGCTACCCCTCGGAAGCATCGACAACAAAATGGATGAGAACTGCGACGGCACCAACAGTGAGCCATGCTGCGGGGCCGCTCACTCCAACAAAAGCATCGGCAACCTCAGGGGGAAGAGGGGGGGAGGAAGAGCGAACGTCGCATTTCGGAAACGTCCTGTCAGGCTAGGCGCAGCGCGGCCCCGCGCCGCCAGAGAGGTCTGCGGGGAGCGTCAGGGCGTGCCGAGCGGCACCGATGCCTTTGCAGCTCTGCGTGCAGGTCAAGACGTTCCGGCTGGCCGCGTCCTTCGTCATGTGGTAAATGCGGGAAGGAGGAGGAGGAGGAGGAGGAGGAGGAGGAGGAGGAGGAGGAGGAGGAGGAGGAGGAGGAGGAGGAAGGAGGAGGAGGAGGAGGGAGGAGGAGGAGGAGGAGGGAGGAGGAGGAGGAGGAGGAGGAGGAGGAGGAGGGAGGAGGGAGAGGGAGGAGGAGGGAGGAGGAGGGAGGAGGGAGGAGGGAGGAGGGAGGAGGGAGGAGGAGGAGGGAGGGAGGAGGAGGGAGGAGGAGGAGGAGGAGGAGGAGGGAGGAGGAGGGAGGAGAGAGAGGAGGAGGAGGAGAGGAGGAGGAGGAGGAGGAGGAGGAGGAGGAGGAGGAGGAGGAGGAGGAGTAGGAGGAGGAGGAGGAGGAGGGAGGAGGAGGAGGAGGAGGAGGAGGAGGAGGAGGGAGGAGGAAGAAGGAGGAGGAGGAGGAGGAGGCCGTGGCGGTGCTTGACCCTGGTGAGTAGGAAAGCCGCTCGTGCCCGCCGTGCCCGGCGCCCCGGCGGTGCCTCCGAACCCACGCCAAGGGGAGGACCTCCGCGCTCCGCGGGGCAGCTCGGCGAGCGCGGGGCAGCTCGGCGAGCGGAGGCCTGCGGCAGCCGAAGCGCCGCACACGGGCTGCTTTTACCGGCCTCGAACTTATCCCTATCCCCCCTTGGGGGCCGGCTCTCTGCAGCCGGAGCCAGACGAGAGGTCAAAACGTGTGATGGTGCCAGGGCCCCGATCGGCCTTCGGTGGGCTGCGCTCCGGCTCGGGCGCTGGGTTTACCAGCCTCGAACTTATCCCTATCCCTAAGATTGGCACGCCAAAAGGCGAGGACAATCTTAGGGATGCGCCCTCAAAAACCAGGGAATCCCTGAGATTGACATCGTGATGAGGAGATGCCCAGCACAGGGATAGGGATATGTTCCAGGCTGGTAATGCTTTCCGGAGGGGCAAGCTCGGGCGTTGGCAGAACTGGGCTTCGTGGAACCAGGTTCGATGAGTTGTACCGGGGGCGCCCCCCCCCGTCCCATTGCCACTAACTGGAACTGCCGTCGCCCGAAAGAACAGCAGCTATGGCAAACCTGGTTCAGTGATTCTGGCCACTGCAAAGGCTCCGGGGTCCTACCACTAACCGGGTCCCCTTCCCTGGGGTCCTGGCCATACCCGACAAGCGCCGTGCCCAGACCCCCTTCGGGCCACGGAGGAGTCGGCTATACGCAAGGGTGGCCCTGGGTATAAAGAGTGACCTTTGGTGCGCGGCTTTGGGGGCCGCGGAGAGGCCAAATCCAGGCGCGCTAGCCGCTGCTACCGCTTCGCGTTCAGCCAATCTGGGGGCCCATCTGTGCCCGCACCGAGGGCCACTCCGGCGAAAGGTCACTCTTAGGTCTAGTCGACACAACCACGACGGAAGGTCGTTCGTCCCTCTTGGGCCTCGGGCTCCGCGAGGCTTAGCCCGTGCAGGACGGCAGCACGGGCAGAGGGCACGTGCGCGCACGGCGCCCACCATGAAGATGCAGCCGTCGCTGCCCTCTCTTACGAGCGCAAGTGAATTCGCCCCGTGGCTGAGGAACACGGGGGCCTACGGGGTGTGAAAACGACCACAGCCACTGCTTTTCTTTTGTTGCCGCCTTCCAGCCCGCAGAAACAAAGAAGTGGTTGTGGTCATTTTCGTTGAGCTTGGCACCAGGGAAATGACCACAATGGCCGGCTGGAAGGCGGCGCAAACAAGAAGCAGTGGCTGTGGTCATTTTCCCGTCCCGCAGGGGGAGAGCCGAAAGGGGGGAAGGGGGGAGGGAGGAGAAGCAGCAGCAAGGGCAGGCAGCGCAAGCGGCGGCGCCGGCGGCCGCCGCCTGGCGCCCCGGCTTTTTGCGGGGCGCAGGATGCACCCGTCGCTGCACGGCAGCCCTGGAAGGCCAGGGCGGGCAGGTGTTCCGAAAGCTGACCAAGTTCGACAAGTTCGAAGGGGCCCTGGGACACACAACTAGACAGACACAACCAACAGGACGCCCCACATTCCCCCCTGCCTTCTGGGCCCCCGTGCTCCCCCCCCCCTTCCCATACCTTCCCAATGCTTTCCTGGGGAGTCGACGATGACTTGCGCCTGTGCGTTTTTTTTCCCCCTCCTGAGAGGTGGCTCCGCCCTCGAGGGCGCCAGGACCGCCGCGCTGCCCGGCCGCGGACCCGCCGCACGCCCCCCGCGCGAGGAGCAGGCGCGCAGAGGCGCAAAGGCGCGAGGCCGGCCTGCCCGGGGGGCGCGCGCGGGAGCCCCTCGCGCGGGGGCGGTGCGAGGCCGAGCCAGAAGGGAGAGCCTGGTGTCCGAGCCGCGCTCGCACCCGCTCACGGCTCCCCCCCGCCTTCCCCCTCCTCAGCACCCTCGTCCTCCTCCTCCTCGTCATCCTCGTTCGTCTCTTCGTCGTCGCCTTGGTCGTCCTCCTCCTCCTCCTCCTCCTCCTCCTCCTCCTCCTCTTCTCCTCCTCCTCCTCCTCCTCCTACTCCTCCTCCTCCTCCTCCTCCTCCTCCCCATCACCTCATCCTGCCTTCCGTATCGTGCGCTATCCCTGTTGCTTCCTCCCGTATCCCACCGCTCTCCTCCACATTCCCCCCTTCCCCATTACTGCCCTACGTCGCTCGTAGAAGCGCTCGTGTACGGGCAGGGGTATAGGGGGGGAGGAGGGAGGGGGGATGGATGACGCTGCGCGCGGGACTGCGCACGGGGGGGAGGGGGAAGACCCGGTCGTCGCCGTCGTCGTCCTCCTTGGCTGGCAGAGAAGAGCAAGGCTTGCGCGCGGCCCGTGGAGGGCGAGGGGAGCGACGACCTGGCCGACCACCGCCCACCCTGCACGCCCGCAGAGCCCCTCCCCCGCACAGGGGGGGGTGGGGGATGCGCAGGCCCGCCTCGCAGCCAGACAGCAGGCACGAGGCGCCGCCGTGGTTTCCTCTTTTTAGAGAGGAGACAGACAATGCGGTGACCTCGAAATCCCCACCGACTCACCGCACCGTGTGCTCAGCACCCCGTTTGGCCCCCCCCGATTCTTTGTCCTCGATCAAGTCGGCCGTGGCCCGGAGACGGGAGCGGCAACAACGGCCACCACAGTCGAAAACTGAGCGCCAGAGGCGTGGACTGGACAGAGGGATGGGTGCAGCACGAGGGGGGAGGGAAAAAAGGAGCAGGATGGGGGCCATAGGTGTTCCTTGTTGCTTCATTGAGATTTGGGAGGGCTGCACGATGCACATCGCAGAGCTGGCTTGATCTCCCTGGGCGCCCTCTGCCATAGTGTCCTTGCTGATGAGGTAGCGGTCCGCCATGCCGGCGCCTCTGAAGGAACCCAGGGAACGGGCCGCCTCGCCCTGCCTTCGCGTTGCGCGCTGCACTCCAGATCCTGCCTCGAGCCACCGCGGCAGAACGTGGAGGCGACCCGGGAGACGACGGCGAGGACGCGAACGAGGATGCAGAGGGAGACGTGGAGGGCATGGAGAAGGGGAGGACCGCGATTTCTGGTCGAGGGCCCGCGCAGACCCGGGTCGGCCGGGGCCCTGTCGCGGCGTCAGGCCATCCGCCGAGTAGCTCCCAAGCCCAGGTCAGCGGCAGGCAGGCCACGGGAATCGGCCCCGCGTGGCCCCCAAACCCGGGTCGGTCAGAGGGGATTGACACACTCCGTTGGAGCTGACCGCCGTTGTCAGGAGAAGAAGAAGAAGAAGAAGATCCACCATAAACATAACTTGTGGCGCTTCGTGCGGGTTTCTAGGAACTGCGCTGGACCCCCCTCCCTGGCGCGCGGAGCGCGCCAGGGGCGGCGCCAGAGGCGCCACCACGGGGCCCCAGCGTGCATCCAAGAAACTCGCGCGGAGCCCCAGAAGTTCATGTTTATGCCGTTTTGTCTTCTTCGGCCAACGCGTCCTCCCACGTGCCGACACCGTGCTCTTCCCGCAGACACTGTGGCTCAGGAGCCATAGAAAGGAATATCAAGTTTGTCCTCCAATGGAGGCTCGATCTCGTAATGGTCTCGGTATCCAACAGACGGCTTGGTATACACAGACGCACGCGCCAGTGGCTCGATCTCGTAATTGTGTGCTCCACTGGCTTGGTATACACGGTCAGGAACGTTTGCTTAGCCTGTCGCGGCGGTGGCCCCTGCGACATGGCATGCCCTCGAAGCTGATATCGTGTCGTCGCTGACATTACACGCGAATCGGAACACGCGTCGCACGGACGTTATGTAAGCACTCGGGCTGCCGATGGCAGCTTGCGCCGAAGCAGCCGTCGGCGCGACACGCTGAGAAAAAAATCTTGCCGACTTTCCCAGCTGACACCAATCAGTCTCGGCCTGAAATGCCAACCACCCTGCCAATGAGGCGGACCTGCATGACTTCCAGAATTTCTGGTAGAGGCTCTGGTGCACTCCCTCCCCCCCTCGAACTCCCCTTCAGACCTCCTCTCTCCTGCTCCTGCCCGTCCGCTCCCCCCTTCCCCCTACCCTTTGCAGCTACCCCTCCAGCTCATCATCTGCCTTCCCCCTCCCCCTCCTCCTCCCACTCCCCCGCGCCTTCCCCTTCCACATTCCACCTCGTTCTACCCTTCCGCCTTCTCCCTGTCCACCTAATTCCTCCTCCTCCTCCTCCTCCTCCTCGCACCTTCCCCGTCGTCGCCCTCCTTCTCGTCCTCATACTCTCAATTCTCCTCCACCTTCTCCTCCTCATCGTCATCATTTCCCTCATCCTCCCCCTCCTCCCGCTCCTCTTCCTCCTTCACGTCCACCGTCCAACCAGGCTGTGTGACATCTGATAGTATGGAGCCTGCAGCTGCACTGCCGTCGAGGCTATCACCAAGACTTGACATCAAAGCAGTCAATGCTCCATGGTAGGAAAGCCAGGTCACCGAAACTCGCGCTTCACGCTCTTGCGCCGCCCCTTGGAGAGAGACACCTTCCCAGAGTGGACCGCGATGCGCTGCTAGATGCATGTATAGGTATACACATATATCTGTAAATGTATATGTATTTTCGTATACATATACATACATACATGCATAGTGGTTGTTCCCCCTGGGTGGGCGCAGCAAAGCAGCAACACCTCCATGGCAGGAAATGGTACCAGCACGAGGGGTCTTCGTGCTGTGTGATTGAAGTCAACTTCGCTGTCAATTGCCGCGCAAATATCTCAGGCCGACTTGAACCTAGCGCGGGGTGAGGGCAGCACACACCACGGCGAAATGCCGGGTAAGGGCAGCAGCAAGATCCACTGTTAACTGGCAGGACATTGAACAGGCCCCCATGAACCAATGCGTGCCGCCTTGCTGAAGAACTCGTACGCCCGCAGCGGCGGGACGGACCTCCAGAGGGGACAAATCACTTAGTCGGTCTCGCAATCCCCCCCTTCCACCTGCTGCTCCTTCAGCTGCTTCTCCCCTTCCACTCTTCGGCTGCGTGGACCTGTTCGTCGTTGGCGGCATCTTCACCGTCGCCGTCGTCCGCGTCGACGTCGCCGTCGACACCGACAACGTCGGCGCTGTCGCCTGGGGGAACTGAAATACACCGATATACCGATATATCGATACCGTTGTGGATGCCATGACAATGGACACTCTAACAGCCTTATCATTGAATTCCAAATGTGGATTTAATGTTTGGAATGTGTAAACATGCCAAACATGTTCGTTGCATGCTTTCATCATGTTTGAACATGTTTTAGACATTCGGGAATTAGTTGACAAAATGCCATCCTCTTCAGTGATCGTCTTCCACAGCGATACCGCTCCTCACGAACCTCCCCCAATGTGCTTTCAGACTCGGACTTCGAGGCGCATCCAGCCGTGGCGACGACCGCCTCCTGGGAAGCCCGAAAAGGCGCACACGGAGGAGGAGGAGCGGTGTCAGCACATGTTCCTCCTCTGACTTCTCTTACAGTGGAGGCCAGTCCACAAGAAACCTTCCACAAGAAATCCAACCCTGAGACACCAGGACGTCCATTGATGTTTGGTGTGGGAACGCCACGCTCTCCATAGCAAGACCATCGAAACCCAGGAAGCCCAGGGAACCCTGGAGGCGAGCAGGGAGTTTCTCGGCATGGGCTCCCACTGTGAGGCATGCAGCGAGCAGGCTCTGAGGGCAACGGGTCCTGCACCCTGAGATTGACACGCCAAAAGGCGATGACAATAGGGATGCACCCTCAAAAACTGAGGGAATCCCTAAGATCGCCATCGTGACGAGGCGATTCCCAACAGAAGGATAGGGATAGGTTCCAGGCTGGTAATCTTCATCCTGAGTCGCCATCGTGACGAGGCGATTCCCAACACAGGGATAGGGATAGGTTCCGGGCTGGTAATCTTCCTCCTGAGCCGAGTCCTGGCCCTCCCGGAGCCCGTGGAGGGCCCTGGGAAGCCAACAAAAAAAACTCAGGACCCGTTTCCACCAGGACACGAGTCCTCCCTGGCGACTCTTTCGTGGGGTCGGAGTACTCCAGATTTCGTAATAAAAGGGAGGGGGTCTGGACCCTTCAAGACAAGCCATTTCAGACCTCCCCCGTGGGAGAACCCTCCAAAACATCGTCCCCAGACCCCCCAGGCCCTCCAAGATAGCCTGGAAAAGACCCCCCCCCCGAAATGAGACCCCCCTCCCTTTCTTACGAAATCTGGAGTACATGTGGTCGGAGGATCGCGCCGCATGGCCGATGCATCGCCAATGCATTGGCAGTGCACCAACGCTGTCGCCATGGAGGAAACCGGGCTCCACATCGAGCCGCATCGTCGCTGCCTCGGCGATGCGGTGCGGTCCACCGACCCGATCTACTCGGACCCGATCTGGGAGGCATGCGGCAAAGTCTTGTGGTATCGACCCCGGCGTTAGTTGCTGACACCGCGGGGATCGCTCAGCCTTGAACGGTCGGCCGTTTCGGAAACGTCAGATCGTTCAACATCGGTGGCGTTCAACGTGGAACGTCGGCGGCGGGGTCGCCGCCGGTCGACACGAGGCGATTTCTACTGCAGACTCGTTCTCCCTCCTTCGCCGTTCGTTCTATCCTTTTTCGACGCTTTCATGGGAGTACGGGAAAATACGTACGATGCCCAGCAATCAATGTTCCCCAAAACCGACACCAGCCACTGTTGGCCTGGCGGGCTTCTGCCTCAAAGGAGCAGCGCCCGCGGCGACACCGACTGCGCGCGCGTCCTGCCGACATTGGGCAGGCACTGCTGTCGGTTTTCGTGTACCCGCTGCTTTCGTGCAGTCGGGCTCGACGGCAGAGAGCACGCGAGAAGACACCAGACCCGCTCCGAGGGCGACACTGCCGCAGAATTGTGGAGGGCATGGGTATCTGAAGACAGGACACAAGGGTACCCTTGATTTGGCAGGGTTGACCTACTCTTAGGTCGGGCGTGTCCCCCTACAGGGGGATTTTGAAAGAACAAATCCTCATAAAATATCCCCAAATGCTCAAACAATGATCAAAAAATCGTCCCCCGACTATTTTTTGACTATTTTTGAATATTCCTCCTGTAGAGGGACATGCCCGACTTACACCTACTCCTCTAGAGGCCGCCTGGATGGGGTCCGAGTAGATGGGGTCGGAGGATCGCGCCACATCGCCCATACATCCCCGACGCATGGTCGATGCACCGTCGAGGCGACGTCGGCGATGCGTTGGCTCCGTCGGCGTGGAGAACATCGGGTTCCGCATCGCCGCACCGAGCCGCATCGCCGATGCATCGGGGATGCGGTGCGATCCTCCGACCCCTTCTGCTCGGACCCCATGTGGGCGGCCTAGATACGGGACGCACAGAGACACACTGGTAGTGTCTGTCCTCCTTGGTGGCACTCGTCCGACCCGAATAGATGGTAGACCCATCTTGCCGTCGATCGTTTCCCGAGCGGCGTGGCCAGAAAGCGCCCGCCACGACGCATATGCCATTAGCTGAAGTCGGGCCTGTCCCCCTACAGGGCGATTGTCAACGAAAAATGAAAAAAACAAGAATGCCCCAAAAAGGTCCAAAATTTCTCAAAAAATAATCCCCAGAGTATTTTTATATTATGTTTTTGACTATTTCGGGGGCATTTTTTATAATTCTCGTGGAAAATCCCACTGTAGGGGGACAGGCCCGACTTAACATTAGCTTTCTCGGAACGCGCGTCGCCCCTACAGAGGAGGGGGCGACGCGCACAGAGCACCGGCACGCCGGGAGGGCGCCAGAGCTCCTCGAGCAACAACTGTGCCCAGGCCGTGCGCGTGCCGCTGCTCCGGCAGCGGGCGGTGGCCGGTGCGCGCGCCCGGGCTCGGCTTCGCGCGGTGGCCGCCGGCGAACGGCGGCAGAACGCGGGCCTGGACGCTCTCTCTGGGCCCCGCAGCGGAGAGGAGGAGGAGGAGGAGGAGGAGGAGGAGGAGGAGGAGGAGGAGGAGGAGGGCTCCAGGCGGCGCGAGCCGGGATCCGCGGAGTCCAAGCGTCCTCCTCCCTCCTCCTCCTGCTCCTCCTCCGCCGCCGCCGCCTCCTCCCTTCCCCCCACTTCCCCCCCCGCCCTCCTTCCCTGCCCGTCCTGCTCCCCCATCCCGCCTCCCTCCTCCCTCCTGCCCCTCCTGCTTTTGTTTACTATCCCGTTTCCGTCGTAGCTCCCGTACCGCCTGCCCCCGATGCTGCTCCTGTTGCACTTCAAGATCGGCGCTTTACACCCCCGTCGTTCGGAATGGCGCTTTCGCCACATCACGGGCCACTTTTCTGGATCCTCATCGTTGTATTCCCGCTCCTTTCAACTCCTCCGCCTTCCCCTGGTCCTCTTGCTCTTCCCGCTCCTCCCATTCCTGCTTCTGCTGCTCTTGTTCCTCCTCGTCCTCCTCATTCCTCATCCTCCTCTTCATCCTACCCATTCGCCAACTCCTCCTCCAATAAACGGATAGCACGATGGTGTCTTTTGGAAAATTCCAGGACGGAGCACTGTGACACACGTCGGCGGACAGAGAAAGAAACAACGCAACGGGGAGGATGGGTTTAAAGGGTAGGATGACATACGTAGCACCCCGTAGTTGCGGATAAGAGTGAGGGGGCGGCAGCGACGTCTGCAGTTTGCTAGGCTCTGAAGAAGCCCGCCGCAGGCGCAACAATTTGCAAGCCCACCGCAGGCGCAGTTTTTGTTAAGACAATGTAAGTGGGTCGCAGCTTGGGTCGCAGGTGGGTCGCGGGTGGGTCGCGGGTGGGTCGCGGGCCAAGTCGCGGGTGGGTCGCGGGTGGGTCGCGGATGGGTCGCGGGTGGGTCGAGGGTGGGTCGCGAGCGGGTCGCGGGGCGGGTCGCGGGTGGGTCGCGGGGTGGGTCGTGGGTGGATCGAAGGCGGGGTCGCGGGGGGGACGACGACAAGAAACAACAACAACAACAACAACAACAACAACAACAACAACAACAACAACAACAACAACAACAACAACAACAACAACAACAGCAACATCAGCAACAACACAACCAAAACAACAACACCAACAACAACACCAACAACAACATAAGCAGCAGCAGTTAAGACTGTTCGCTCCTATCTGCCCACTGGCTAATCAACATGTATATCCCAGACCCTTGGTACCCGTCCTCGTCGTCTTCGATCGTATCTCCTTGGGGGTATATCTTCCTTACCTGCCACGTGTATTTAGTGCAGCTCCTACAACAAGAGAAGAGAGGACGGGTGGAAGGGGGAGGGAGAATAATGGAGCACGCGAGAAATTAGCAGAAGGCGGGCAAGGAACAGAAAACAAGTGGTAGAACCATACGGGCAGATCGGGTGGGCTGACCAATAGCGGGCAGGTCGGGAAGGCGGGCCCAGGCGACGAGGTCGAGCAGGCGGGTTGATGAAGCGTGGATCCTGCATGCATTGCAAGAAAGTTTCGACCGATAGCGCGACTCCTAAGTAAATCGTGAGAAAAGCCAGCGTGGGCCACGAAGGGCATAAAATCCGAGGCCACAGAGGGCAGCGACGGGGCCGCTGAGGGAAGCACCGGGGCCACGAAGGGCAGCGAGGGGGTCACAAAGGGCGACAGCGGGGCCACGAAAGGCATTCATATGGGGCCACAACGGGCGCGAGCGAGCGGGGGCCACGAAGGGCATTCGTACACGGGGCCGCAAAAGGCGACAGCGGAGCCACTGAGGGCAGCAAAGGGGCCACGAAGAGCAGCGAGGGGGCCACGAAGGGCGACAGCGGGGCTACGAAAGGCATGCGTATGAGGCCACGACGGGCGCGTGCGAGCGGGGGCCAGGAAGGACATATCATGCGGGGCCACAAAGGGCAGCGACGGAGCCACTGAGGGCAGCAACGCGGCCACGAAGGGCAAAGAGCGAAGGCGACAGCGGAACCAGTACGGGCAGCGAGTGACATCGAAGGCGGGCGAAATGCAGCGAGCGGCGACTGCAGTCATTAACGGGCTGGTCGGGCGGGCAGGCCCCGACGGGCGGGACGAGCGGGCGGGTCGTTGAAGCGTGAGTCCTGCTTGAACCGCCAGGCAATATGTAGCGGGAGCGTGCTTCCTGAGGGTCGAAGGCAGGCATCTGAATAAACTGTGAGGAAATATCAAGCGACGCGGTTCGGTAGTAAGTTGCGAGGAAGTCCCAAGCGAGAGCGCGATGCTGCAATACACTGTCGAGAAGTATCAAGCGGGAGACGCGATTCGGTGGTAAATTGAAGGAAGTCCCAAGCGAGAGCGCGATTCTTCAATACATTGTGAGGAAGTGTCAGGCGGGAACCGTTGTTGTTGTTGTTGTTGTTGTTGTTGTTGTTGTTGCGAACCGGGGCCCAACGACACACTTTAAGCCTCAAGACCTTCCTCAATAAAAAACAGAGTGCGAGCCCTGGGAAGGGCACTTCAATCGAAAAAGTACTATGTGCACCAGGCGGGGGGGATCAACAATAATAATTCTTCAAAAGTGCGAGTTCACCAACAACAACAACAGCAACAACAACAACGCAATAATCATAATCCTCACCACGGATCCGCACTTAAGCCACGCACCCAGGGATAATGAACGACCGTTCGGTCCCCTCACTCTGATATGGCGCGGGCCAACCTTGCTTGCCTTTCTCCTCTCTACTCACTCCACCGACCCCTCATCAATCCTCCCTCCTCCTCTTCCCTCTGGCCCTCTTGGTATAGTTCCATCTCTCTCTATATATGTATACGTAAGTATGTGCTTGTTGTTCCTCTCTCCCTCTCTCTCTATGTATGTATGTATGTATGTATGTATGTATATATATATATATATATATATATATATATATATATCGGAAGCTCCTTTTCTCTCACGCACGAGCTCTCTCTCACTCTCTGTCGGAAGTCCCCTTTCTCTAACACACGAGCTCTCTCTCTATCTCTCTCTCACTCTCTCTCCTTCTCTCTCTCTCGCGCGTTTTTTCCATACCTCTCTCTCTCTTTCTCTTCAGCTCTTCCTCTACCCTCTATCCTTTCTCTGTCTCTCGCTCTGTTGTTTCTCCACATGTGTGCGTATGCGTATACACATGTACACGAAAATATATGTAGCACAAATATGTACTCAGCGCCGGCCCGCCTCCTCCCGCCTCCTCGGCGCCGGCCCGCCTCCTCCACGCTCTCTTCACCGTCCGCCCGCGCCTGGGCTCGCCCCTGGCCCCCCCCCGGCGATGGACCAGAAAATGAGGGCGCTCTCCGCGTCCGCGGTGACGATGAGCGGGGCGTCCTGCCACAGGGAGCGACGGCACGGCCACGAGACGATGCCATCCCTCTCCGCTTCCTCCTCCTCCTCCTCCTCCTCCTCCTCACCTCTTGCTCCAGCCTTGCCCCCTCGGGCGCAGCCGCGGTATCATGCGATCGTCACCTCGATGCCGTGGGGCGCCCAGCCTGATGCCTGCAGGTCGTTCCTGCCCTTCGTCCCCCTCTCCCTCCTCCTCCTGTTTCTGCACCCTCGCCGAGCACCCCATGCCCTGGCATTCACGCAGCGCCCCCGCCGCCGGCGTCCGTGGCCCACGGGCCCTGCAAGTGTGCTGGCACACGGCGCGGGTTGGCCGCTGCCCGCCGCTGCCCCGCGGGGTACGACCTCTCGCGGATGACGCAACGGATCGTTCTCCTCTCTCTTCCCCACGGTCAGGATCCATAGTGAGGATCCACGACCATTTGAGGTCCCATTCCACCATGTAGAGCTCATCGGACGTCAACGCTGGCTCAGGATAGGCCGACGAAACAGGGATGCAAGGGTAGCCTAGATGACGCAGCGCATCCTTACTATGGATGTTGTGTGTTTACGTCCCCCAATCCACCTCCTCCGTCTCACAGAACTCCTCCGCGTCCTAAAATCGATAGACGCAGGGATGAGCGTGGGCCACCGAGGACGGTAGCGGCATGCTGCCTGGGCTACTAGAGATGCAACCGTGATGGAAAAAACAGGTTTTGTAAGTCAAGTATGGCCATCCACAGATCACCAGGACCAGGCATTCGGTCCAGGCAGATGCTCATCACCAACCGAGGCCATCGATGCCTGCCGTAGTTTGCAAGCGCAGTTACTCCAAATGCCACTGCGCAGACTTACAGCGTCGTGCTCATGAATATGCACTGCCTCGTGTCGCGGAGTTCGGTTACAAGGAGCTACAACGAGCAAAGGCATCGAACTATGCACCACACGATGTCCTCTTCTACCACCGCGTGGTCGAAGTCCGAAGCTGCATTCAAAAGTTCGGCAGAGCGGCAGACCAGTAGATCATCACACATGCCAAGACTACCACAACCAGCAGCTGCCCCTTTGGGCATCCCAACAACCACGGCTGACACTATAAATATCGAACCTTACGTCGACGCACTTTGCCCTCACACTACCTTCTCAATTTGAAAGGCCACTCTGGCTCGCAAGCACGTTCTTTCTGAAACGATGGCAACGATGCCAAGACAGGTCGTGGCATCCTGCTGCAACAAACGGACATACGCGTGTGCAATTATGAAATGAGCAGTCGACCATTCCATGGACACCTAAATGCTTGTGCACTTGCCGAGTCTTCTTCTATCAATGTGCAAATGTCTTGCTCGTCCTAACCACGTCCAACACAAGGACATGGCCGTGTACGGGTAAACTAGAAGAAGCAAAGACGTATTATTCAAACGTGTACCAACATGCTGCTGAGGCCAACGAGGCATGCGATTGTGCCTGTGAAACTATTCCGTGGGCCGCGCCACTAACATGCAATCCCGAAACAACATGCCCGCGACTTCCACCCTCAGGCGATAAGAGGGTTCGGGGTTCGGGGGGGGGGTAATGAACAAAATCCGCAGCACATCGCAAAAGGTATAGTTAACCGATGCCCTTCTCGCTCTGGCGGGGCCTCCCAGGCACTCTGTCGAGGCCTCCCTGCATGGGGGGGAGGAGGAGCAGGGAACCTGAGGAACAGTATGGTACCATGAGAAATTCGCCGGCCCAACGGGCCAGAGCACTCCAGGGGAGGACCATTTTTCGACACCCCTCACGAGGATCGTGGCCTCCGAGGAGGGAGCCGCAATCGACTACCCCCCCTCCCGCCCCAAGAGGCCCCCAAAAGCCCCCCAAGAGGCTCTGGGGGCCCACAAGACGCCGCCAAGGAGCCCCAGGAACTCCCAAGAGATCCCCAAGAGGCCCCCAAGAGGCCTTAAAGAGGGCTCCAGGGCCGGCGGAATGAGCGAAGCGATTCAATAATATGCTCATGAAATTCTGCAACGTGATAAGAAGATTATTTTTACGATGGCTACTTGTCGCGGTGAAAATGCAACTCGGCGTCGCCAACCCCCACCGACGAACACAAACGGTTGCGCCAGGGATAATCATGGCAAGACGGTGAAGGGGGGGTAGGCTTTATTATTTGGGGCATGCTGCTATTGTGCGTTGCCGTCGAATCCTGCCAGCACGAAGCCCGCACGCCTGTCGAAGTTTCTTGAAGCAGCATCACACAAGATAAGCATCAGCAGCCACGTGGACCCCTGACGCGTTCAGGGCAGCATGCCAGACGCCCGCCTCGCTACCAAGACTTGGCCCCGCGGAGCCTCGAAGGAGCTCCACGGACACAACACCACACGTGCCGCACTGCCATGAAGGCCGGAACCACACGCGAGCCGCGAGGCTGGCCTCTCACCGTGTGGAACATGGAGGCCCCGCGCCGGAGAGGCACGCGGAGGGCTGGCGTGCTCGCCATGAAAGGGCCGAGCGCTGGGAAGACATGTGGCCGCATCACAAAGGGGGCGCTCCAAAAAAAAAAGGCCTTGCCTTCGAGAATCGAAGAACTTGTCATCTCTTCCCCGGCGGAAGGCCGCGGAGGGGCGGCGGAGGTAAAACGAGGGGCCGCCTCTGCCAGCGGAGGCTCGGCGGAGGCTCGGCGGAAGGCGGCGGAAGTAGAAGGTGCGCCCCCAAGAGGTGAAAACGCTGTTGGGTTCAGGGTTTCTGGCATCGCCCATATGGTTCCAACCCTCGCCGGGGCTGGGCTGGTCACGCGCATCCAGCTTCCTGGTACTCGCTACTGCCTTTCGTGGGACACGTCCTGCTCCTGAGCTCCAGCCGCACGGCGAGGGGTGGCAGGGAGGGGCAGGCGGGGAGAGGGAAAAGTCTACAGGGCAGCTGGAAAAAGTGGAAGTTGGAAAATCATTGAAAGTGGAAGTGGCCAGGGCTGGAAAAAAACTGGCAATGGATGAGGCGAGCCCGAAACGGTAGGGATGCGGCCGCCGGGGCTCGAAAAAAATGCAGGGAAACTGGCCAGGGCTGGAAAGAATGGACGGGCGGGCCCCGGTCACCTTTTCCGGCTTCCATGTAGCCCCACGCAACCATGACACCAGCCACAGCCACAAGCGAGGTGAGGGGGATGCAGCTCCACCACGGACACCCGCGAGGGGCGGCGAGGGGCGGCGAGGGTGGGCCAAGTCCGCATTGGGGAGGGCGCGTGACCTACAGGACCAAAACTCGGGTGAGAGTTAAAGTGGGGCGGGGGTAGGCCCAGTTAGTGGAGCATGGCCCTGCGACGGACAACCAACCCATTGTCTTAATGCATGCGCATGCGAGCAAAGCTTGCACTTTGCCGCGCTGATTGAACACATGAGTGGATCAGTATTGCGGTATGTGTAGGTGTACGTATACGTAGATTCATGTCGCCACCGATCTAGATGGCACTGACGCTGAATGGTTACACATGGGGTCCAAAATACATGTATGGCGGGTTCCCCTTTGTTCTGTTACGGGCCTCTTGGTCACCGGATTCCCCCAACACCAAGGGCGACCGCAACTAGACCTTCCCACCGCCATATTCAAACAGACAGCCCTTACACTAAGTTCATCTGAGTAGTTCCTCGTTCTACTGATACTCATTTCAAGATGTTCCTGGTGAGGGCTTGGCGCCAAGGTTTTCTTTGCGTCGTCGGGCAATTGGCCCTAGACTGGAGGGTGACGAGCAAAACGAGGAGGGGAGTGAGGGCGTTTGGATTGAAACATTCTCGCATACTGGGGATGTCGCTTAAGACGCTGGCTCTTAAAGATGAAGCGTCCGCCTAAGACATCCTCAAACAATTGAAAAGTTGGAGATCGGGCGTCAGATATCGAACATGGCATGGGGGGAGCGTTTCGCCTGAGACTTCCTCAGGAGCTTGCGATTTTGGAGATCGGATGGCGGATGTGCACATTACCTGGAATGGGCGTTTCACATGAGACATCCTCACAAAATGGGGATGTTGGATGAGTTGTGGTATGACGTCGGTTCCCCAAAGATGAAGCCTTCGCCTAAGGCATCCTCAACACACGAAAACGATGAAGATAGGGCGTCAGATGTCTATATAACATGGTGTTTTTGTTGTTTTTGTTGGGGGGGGGGCGTGCCGCCTCAAACATTACTTCACAATGGGAATGTTGGCGGAGTTGGTTTACGCTGTTGGCTCTCAAAAACGAAGCGCTTTCGCCGAAGACCTCCTGAGAGAATTGAGGTGCTGGAGCTCGGGCGTCGGGCATCCAACACGGTGTGGGGCGGCATTTCCCCTCATACATTCTTTCATAGTGGGGATGCTGGAGGAGTTGTTTCACAACGTCGGCTCTCAACATATCTAAATCTGTCGCCTCAGATAGGATCAGAATATTGAAGTGTTGGAAGCAGGGATCTGGATTTGAGAACATGGCGTGTGGGGGGGGAGGGGGCGTTTCGCCCCAGAAGTTCTGTCGCAATGACGTGTCAGAGGAGTTGCTTTACGACGCTCCCTTTCGAAAACGAGGCTCTCGCGTTGGACATCCTTAGACACATGAAATGGTCAGCTCGGGCGTCGGACATCGACCTTGGTGTGGCGAGGCGCTTCGTTGCAGACACCCTTTGAAGAACAAAAGATCAGTGAGCTCCAGAATGCGACGTACCTTCAAGAGCTTGGTTCTTGTCCTGAGCTATCCTCACAGATGGAGGCGTCACCAGGGACGTCTGACAGCAGAATATTTGACGCAAACTCCTTGACGGGTTCGTGGGTCCCGCACATGTTCAGCATCTCAACGCACATCTCTCGCAGTGAAGCCCCGCAAGAGAAGCCCCCGTGGGCGATGGGCGGAACCAGACACTTCTGGGGGAAACCCCTCTCTGGCACCTCCCTGGCACCGCAGTCGGGGCTGCCGCCTCTCAGAAGTGGCCCCCCCCTGCCCACCAGGCGAAACTGGCACCCCTGAGCCACGTCCAGCCCTGACGACGAGGAGCGTCCCGAGAGCGACGAAAACGAATTTACTTGTCCGATTTTTTTTACGAGCACTGTCCTGCTATCCTTCCTCCTCCTCCTGCTCCTCTCCTCCTCCTCCTCGTATTCCTCAGCGGCTGCTCGAAGTTGCGGGGAAGCCTCAGGCGAACCTGGCCGGACCTCCTCGCACACGGCATCTGTGTGACCATAATTGCTGGGATGTCGACTCGAGCGAAAATGGCCAGATCGCCTCCTACGCGGCATCTCCAATCTCAGAAATGCGGAAAAGTCTCAAGCGAAATGCCCAGAGGACCTCGGGTCGCAGCATCTCCGAACCCAAAGATGCGAGGATTTCGCGCCAACCGGGCTGGATCACGTCTGGAAGGGTCTGGGAGCCCACGCGTGCGAGGATGCCTCACGAGAGAAGCGAGCCAGACAATCTCAGATCAGGTCGCCTCGGGACACAGGCTTGGAAGGCTGTCTCAAACGAAACGGGCGAGACAATCTCTGCATTTCCAGAACGTCTTGACGCGCGAGATCCTCGGGCAGCACTCATTCTTATAATAACACTCTGACCACAACAATACCCCCCTGGCACCCGCCAGATAACCCTTGGACGCTCCACAAGAGAACCTTGACGACGACCACAAGCGCTAACCTCCCATATGTGCGTGCAAATGCACATACAGTGGTCCATTTATAATATATATCTATATAAAACATGTGATGATAGAGTATAGTAGATGAAACTAACTACATATTGTATACAAGAATCCTGCCTATCAGCGAAACCACCTTTATCATTGCCAACGTGCGCCAACCCGCTGCGATTGTCAATCACAAGCCCCCCCCCTTTCCCAACCGTGGTCGCTTCGTGCCAATTCGGTTAGACTTCAGTAGGGCCTGCCCTCCTACAGGGGGTTTTTGGACGACAAATAAACATTGTCAAACAATACCCCAAAATGGCCAAGAAATGCTCAAAACATCGTCTCCATACTATTGGTTAACTATTTTTGAGTGTTCCTCCTGTAGAGGGACAGGCCCAACTTATGGTTAAACTTCGACGTCGTCCTCAGCACCCCCGAAGGATATGCACTCGCTGACAACCAGCGAGATGCTCAGCCGCATCGTGCCGGCGAGGCCAGGAAGACTCGCGCGGCACCGAAGCGTGCTGCACCTCCCCTGCACGATCGGACGACCCTCCTCCTCCTCCTCCTCCTCCTCCTCCTCCTCCTCCTCCTCCTCCTCCTCCTCCTCCTCCTCCTCCTCCTCCTCCTCCTCCTCCTCCTCCTCCTCCTCCTCTCCTCCTCCTCCTCCTCCTCCTCCTCCTCCTCCTCCTTCCTCCCTCCTCCTCCTCCTGCTCCTCCTCCTCCTCCTCCTCCTCCTCCCTCCTCCCTCTTCCATCTGCTTCCCTCGGCTTCCCTCCGCCTCCTCCTCCTCCTCCACTGCCTCCTCCTCCTCCTCCTCCTCCCGGCCTCCCTCCGCCGCGCTGCGCCTCCCAAGCCACCAGAGCCAGCGAACACGGATGGGGGCTGGCCCGTCCCCGTGGGGCCAGTCCCTGCTGCCCGGCTGCCCAACCAACACTCCGAGACGTCAGGTCACAGCGGGTCATACAGTCGGGGCGTTGACCTAAGGAACCTTAAATAAGTTAAACTTCGATTCCCCACCGAAAACATAAGGAAAACCTGAGGCAAGCTGCGAAACACTTAAGGAACGCGGAGCCCCTCCCCAACGAAAAGGGTTCCTTCTTCAGGACCCCGACTGTATCTGGCCTGGGAGCGCCGATGGCTTGATACCCTCGAGGTCTGGGCCCTTTGGTAGCCTCGCCCGTCTCCTGACGGCAGGGCACGCCCGGAAGACTCCGATGCGGAAGGAAACCCTCCGCAACACCCGCCCGTTTCAATCTTCAGGCGGTTTATGAAGATGAGAAGGATGCCGGCGACGGCGGCGAGAAAGAAGGGGACGAGGGCGAGGAGGATGAGGAGGGAAGGGGCGAGATGAGGATTGCAGAGGCATGATGGAAATTGGTATCAGGGCGAGGAGGAGGGCGACGCGAAGGTGAAGGATGCTGAGATCCTGCAAGTACTTGCAGCACTGCACCGCCTGGTGGTGCACCACCTCGCAGCGGGAAGAGCTGCTGACCTGCCCGCGGGGTCCAGGGCCACAGGAGGCTCCTCCTCGTCTTCTCCAACTTCTGCCCATCCCTGGCCCACCGCCCATACAAAGGGGCTCCAGGATCCACGTCTGAGGCAGATAGGTTGAACAAAAACCGATCACCATCAGAGCAGTTTGGAGCGACAGACCTGATCCCGCCCATCAAGGAGGAGGCGGGCACAAGGAGGGTACAAGGGGGAACCAGGGGAAGATAGCAGGAACAGCAGGAAGGCGAGAAGTGGTAGGCAGGAGGAAGGAAGCGGATGAATGAGGTGGACGACGATGATGACAAAATCTACGACAAGAGGATGAGAACGGAGACATGGGAGGCGAAGAAACGAATGGACGAGGAGGGAATGGAGGGAGAGGACGAAGGAGGAAGGAAGCGGGCAACAACCACGAATCTGCGGCATGCCAAGCATCCCTCCGAACCGAATGACAAACAACTTCCGCATCCTGAGGGTTATTCCACCTTGCCATAAATACTTCAAGATGCCTGGGGTGCTCTTTGGAACCAGATTGGCCACATGCCAGGCTGTGTGCCCCTTCTTCGCGGAAGGCGATTGGAGTCTCGGAGAATTGCTTCGAACACACCTTGTTTGTTTTGCTCCGCTCCTGTATCGGCTCGTTTGTGCAGCAACTGCGTGCTGCCTCGAGTTGAAGGCGCAGCTCCAGCTGGATGCCTTGCAACCGCAACCGCGCTGCGCCCTCTCGACGGGCAGTACAGGCCACAATTTTCCGGAAGGCACGGGACCTGACCCCCGAGGAGGCACTGCTTGAGCTCAAGGTGGGCTCGTGGGGGGTGAGGCGGGGCATCGCCGTGCTTGGTCTTCTCTGCGGGGTAGCGTGGGGGCCCTGGGGGTAGGCGCCAGCATGCCCGGCATCTCGGATTCATCAGCGTGTAGTTGGCGTCCTCGCGTGTACAGCCAGGTGCTGCACGAACCTCTTGCCACCCTCGAGTGTTCCAACACTCTGCACGTGGAGAGCAGCTCCACTATGCAGCCGTAGCCTCACGCGGTTGTGCGTACCAGGTCCATGAAACATGTGCAGCGGTTGCTGCACCGTTTGGCCAAGGACACGTTGGCAACAGTGAGTGGGATATGACGTCGGAGCTAGGCCCAGTCAGCTCACATCGTGATCAAACTGTTATTGCGGACTTCGATCTTCTGGATGCCGTACTCACAACTTGTAAGAAAGCGGCGCAACCTTCTCGGAATACAGCCAGATGCTGGCGTGAACAGTGAGTGGGAGATATGTGTTCTCCCCTGGCTGACGCTTCAGAGAAGCTTCATTCACCGCGTGAGTACTGATTCATCAATGGGGTTGCTCGTAGACAGCAGGGTGCGAGGGCAGGAGGGGGGTAAAGAGAGAGGAGGGGGATACAGTAGGACCTCGACCACAAGAAACCTTGCACAAGAAACCCTACCCCGAGACCCCAGGACGTCCATTGAGTGTTGGTGTGGGAACGGCACGCTCTCCATAGCAACACCATCGAAACCCAAGAAACCCAGGGCACCCTGGAGGCAAGCAGGGTGTTTTGTGGCATGGGGTTCCACTGTAGGGGGTCAGGCGGTGAAGGGGGGAGGAGGAAAGAGCTCGGGGGAGGGAGGCAGCGGGTTGAGTGGCATCTGAGATTCTGGACTGCGTCCCGCGCACGATGCCACGCCTCGTTGCGCAACCTCCGATGCAGCAAGGCAGCAATCTGATCAGAAACCCCAGTCGAGAGGAGGATAAGGGAGGATGATGACAACGAGGACGAGCAAGAAACTGAGCATTACCAGGAGAAGGCGGGGGAGGAGGAGGAGGAGGAGGAAAAGGAGGAGGAGGATCATGAGGGAGGACCATGAGAGAGGCGGACGAGAGAGCAGAAGGGCGGAGGAGGGGGGAGCGCCCCCCCCAGACGCCCGTCTCCCCCCCTGCGAGTGCATCGGAGCAGGATATTGGGCTCCCTGGGGCCGCGCCTGTTTGCCGAACTCCATGTTGTACCAGCTCACGTCGCCATCCTGTGTGACTGGCGCTCCTCCCCCCCCCTCTCCCACTCCTCTATCGGCCACCGTGCTCCCTGGGGCACGTTGAGGCGTGGTAGAATCCGGCTGCGCGCACACCATGGGGAAGGCTTTCTCAGAAGCAGGGGTGCCTCTGCGTAAGAAGATTTCCCCCCTCCCCCTACCCTTAGGGCGGGCATGCCCTCGCGGAATTGGGAAGAAAACGTCAACCATTGTCAAAGCATGCTCAAACATAGTTACGCAATTTGGGCAAACGCACGTTCCCAGACTATTGTTGTACTATTCTTCAATCTTCCTCCTGTAGATGGAAGGGACACGCCCGACAAAGCCTACCCCCGTCTGTGCGTGGCCGAAGAGTACCAAGCGCTGTCCAGCAAGGCTTAAGTCGGGCCTGTTCCCCTTCAGGGGGATTTTCGACGAAGAATAAAAAAGACCCCCAATATTCAAAAAAATGTCAAAAAATAGTCTGGGGCTTTTTTTTTGCGTATGTTTTGACCTGGGCTCCCCGCGCGCCCGAGGCAGATCGCCAATCGGGCGTTGGCAGAACTTCAGGTTTAGTGGAACCTGGTTTAGTGATCTGTACTGGGGGCGCCCCCCCGTCCCATGTCCACTAACCGGAACTGCCGTCACCCGAAAAAACACCAGCTATGGCGAACCTGGTTTAGTGATCCTGGCCAATTCAGAGGCTCCGGGGCCCTGCCACTAACCGGATCCCCTTACCCGGGGTCCAGGCCATACCCGAACCAAGGCCACCAAGATGGCCCGGCATGCCCCCAAGGCAGCCAGAGATCCGCCCCCCCTCTTCTTCCTCGCCACCCCTCCCCGGAGGCACAACGCCTGCTCCCCCCTGCGCACGTGCACGCGTTGCCTGGTGCGCTGTAGCCTCGCCCGTTCCTCATCCTGCAGCTGGAGATTGGCCCAGGACGGCTCAAAATGGCCTCAAGACGGTGAAAGCGGCCCCGAGGATAAGTCGGGCGTCTCCCCCTACAGAGGGATTTTGGGCGAAAAATGAAAAATACGCAAAACATATTCCAAAGTTGTCAAAAAATACTTGAAAAATAGTCCCCATAATTTGTTTGACTATTTTTGTATATTCCTCCTGTAGAGGGACAGGCCCGACTTCACCCGAGGACTGCCTAAGAAGCCTCCACGAGGACCCCCAACAAGGCCCGAAAAAAATCCGGATCCTCGATGTCCCTCCGGTGCTGGACGAGCTTGCATGCTTTTATCGCTTCGCTCTTCCTGCAGCGAGGAGGCCCAAGACGGCGTAAAGAGACCCGAGGGCCCAAAGAGTCCCTCAAGCCGGCCCCAAGAGGCCTCCAGGACGGCTCCAGGGGGCCCCAGGATGGAACAAAAGACCCCAAGATGACCCTTCCGGGCCCCAGAGAGGGTCCCAAGACGGTCCAGAGAGGCCACGAAGATGGACTCCGCAGGCGCCCGTGGCCCCAACAGGTCTCCAAGAGGCCCCCAAGAGGCTCCGAGAGAGGAGGGAAGAAGCGGAAGGGAGGAAGACGGTGACGAGCACGAGGAAAGACACCCCGACACGACGCAGATGAGCGTGCCACATTTGACGGCTCTCACAAGCCTCATCTCACAAGGCGTCACACATCCCAGCGTCCTGCGCACTCCTCGAGCGGTCATCATCAGGAATGCTGGGCTGACACGGCGGCGGGACTTGCCGCACCGTAGGGAACTGCTGCTCAGCGTGACGCGGCGGCGTCCACTGCGACACGCCATGCCTTGCAAGCTGATGTCGGGTCGCGCCGCTCCGCGGGGCGGGCTAAGCAAACCTCGGCCCTTTGACGAATGGGGCGCTGGGGGGTGGTCAGCGCGTAGCGCCGAAGCGTGGTGTGTCCGAACACGCGGCGCCACGCGCTGGGCCACCGTGCATGCCGCATGTTGCTCATCATCATCCCCCTCCCTCCCTCCCTCCCCAACGCTCGTGCTCTTCCTCCTCCTCCTCCTCCTCCTCCTCCTCCTCCTCCACCCTTCTTCTTGCCCATGCCTCCAGCCGCTGGCTTCTCCTCGTCCTCCGTGACGCCGCTTTCCGCCCTCCGTGCTGCCCCATGCCCGCTCCCCTCCCCCTCGCCCGCTCTCTGCTCTCCTCTCTCCTCCGGGCCCCTGCGAGAGTCAAAGCTGCCGAGAACCTGGGCGACGGCACCCTTCATGCAGCCCCTGTGCTGGTGGGAGGGCACCCTCCCCAGCAAGCCCCTCCTCCTGCACCACTTCCGCATCCCCAGGTACGTCCTTCGTCTCGACCACCTCCTCCCCTGGCCCCTGACCCCCCCCTCCTCTTCGTCCCCGTCCTCCTCCTCCACCTTCTTCTCACTTCTTCTAGACGACGCACCCCCAGACACTTGGGCACTGGCCTGATACTCGCATGACAGTCTATGCAGTTCGCCTGGTACTCCTCCGCAAGGCATGATTATAAAACGTCGATGTCCTAGCACCTGCACGGATGGAGGGTGGAACTTTTCAAACAGTGACTCCTCCTTTGGAGCTTCGCGCATGTTTCCTAACACCTCTCAACACATGCACGGGTAGAGGGCGGCAGGCTTCCAACATTTGGCCCTCGCCGCAGCGTCAGGCGCAATTGCACAAATGCCGATGCTTGGACAAAATCGCGATTCGAGCAGACGTCCGCAAGCAAGGCTCAAACCGCAACTGAACGCAATCACGCAAAACGTATAGCACATCGACTCCTCTGGGATCGCAGAGGGATGATGAGGCGGCACATCACGTGGGCTGAAACGCAGACAGCCGCGCATCTGCCCAGAAGCATCATCTACCCCGACTACCCCTTGCTCTATCCAGCTGTGCGACGAAACGTTGGTTCACAAAACGCGCACACTGCCGCACCATTCTCTCACGTGTTCATCGGCGCAGTTCTTTCCCAGCCCCCCCGGAAGTCTCTCACTGCACGCATCCTGTGCGCCTTGCGCAAGACACGCCTCTTCCGATCGCCCCGCCCAGGACTGCGCACGCACGCGGCTGCAGCACCGCATCGCCTCTCGGGAACGCCGCAGCTCCGTGCTCTGCATGGCTCTGGCGCAGCCAAAAGCCTTGGCCTTCTGCCTCGGGGGATGGCAGGGATGTGGCTGCCCGCTGCGGCTCTGGAGGCCACGGGGGTGCCGAGACCAGGTGCTTCACTATTCTCATCGCTCTGCCGGAGCGAGGTGCGGACGCTGACGCGAACCCATTTCGAAGTCGCACGCGTGCTGGCTGCATCGGGGCGTCGCGTTGCTCTTCTTCTCCATCTGGCCGGCGGGGCGGCCAGCCGGAACAGTCGATGCCCCGCTGTTTTCCATACGGGGTCCCTGGAAGTCTCGCCCCTTTGCCCAAGGACGGTGTTTCATCCCGCAGCGTTTCTTGACTGTCCCGGGGCCCGATCACGGCATACCCCCCCACCCTCGTTTTGTTTTTAGCACGACGCGAGCATACAGTGCGGGCGCGGCCGCAAGAAACCCAACCATGAGAACCCGTGCGCGAGGTGCACCTGAAGGGTGTTATGGTAACTGATTGTCCGGGCTGTTCCAGTGTGGTGGGGCACCATTTGACATGGGTTCCTTCGGGGATTTGAAGCATGTGAGCGTGCTGAAATAACGAATCGATCTTGAGAACTCATTGCGAAATAGGCCCAACAACTCGGTACACATGAGCTAACCCCGCGCAAGATGTTCGAAAATTCCCGGACCGATCCTCGGACGCTGCCACGATGGTGTCTCTTCCATCGTGGGATATCTGCAGGACGTTCCCCGTGTTGGTCAGACTTATCGTTTTCAGCAGCGCAGCCTTCTTGCCCTCCCTGTCGTCGTGCAAGAAAATCACGCGCTCCGCGGCGGAGTACGTGAGCACCTCGCCCGGCTGCGCGCAAGAGTGACACTAGGCAAGAATGATCTTTGGCGCGCGGCTACAAGGCGGACGCGGGATGGCCAAATCTGGGCGCGCAAGCCGCTGCTAACGCTTCGCGCTCATTGGCGGCGAACCCAGGGGGGACGTGAGGGGAAGTCCCGCCGCTTTCTGAGAAAGCCTTCTCCTTCTCACTTCCCACCCTCGCTGCCGCCGAGCTTCGCGTTCGCCGATCGGGGGACCCCATTGTTGGACGCCCGAAATGGGCACGGAAAGAATGGGTACAGTGCCCAACAACGAATGTTGTCCCAAACCAACGGCGGCCGCTGTCGGGCAGGCGGCCTTCTGTCTCGAATGGACACAGGCCGCGGCGGCGCGGACAGCGAGTCCTGTTCAAAATGAACGGGAACTGCTGTTGGGCATTGTACCCATTCTTTCCGTGCCCATTTCGCTCGTGCAGACTCGGGAGCGGCCAAGAGGGGGGTGTCCAAGAGGGGGGGGTGCAAATCATGACCGGCGGCATGTGCGCGGCCCCGCGGGGGGGCCAGGGACGTAATGAAATAAGAAGAGGCGCCATGAAATCTGGAGAAATATCATGGCCCCCGCCATGATATCCACCCCCCCCCTAGTCCTCACCCCCCTCTTTGCCGCCCCCGATTGGGCCCGCACCAGAGGCCACGCCGGTGAAAGGTCACTCTTGCGTCTGGTCGACTCGCTTGCAGGACTCGCCGGTCTGACCGCCGGGGACGGCGCTCCGCACCCGAAGGGGCGGGGATTTTGGGCCCCCGCGCCTCTCCGACGTGCACGGGGCAGCCACGGCGCGGAGTCAGCGCGGGGGAAAGAGGGAATCCGTTCGAGGGGCTGGGAGAGCAACAGAACATATGGTTTTCGTTCGGTTTCGTAGGCAACAAAAACAGATCAAGCAATTGTACAATACACCATGCACTGCTTCGAGCGATCCCCACCGAAACCCTAAGCGTTTGTTCCCGACGGCACGCGGTCGCCGAATTGGTGGAAATCTAAGCGCGGTGCCCTGTGGTCTCGGCCAGAGCACCGGTCGGGCCGGGTGGCGAATTCCGTTGTCTCCAAATCCAACAACCCCAGAGATCCTGACGAAAGAAATTGACAGACACCCCTGGGCGAAAAAAACAAGCTTCGAAAACGTGCGGTGCGAAAGGGATAGAGAGCCGCAGCCTGTTGAAAGATGAAGAGGAAGAGCATCAACAGGAGGAGCAGGAGGAGGAGACGGACGACGAAGGAGGAAGAGGAGGGAGGTGAGGCGGACCTCTCCTCCCTACTATTGTTCTGGATTCATAACGGTCCAACCATGTTCCATGTGGTCACGTTCTTTCAGATTCTGCTCCAGTATGCCCTGTTCTGTTTTCAACGGGCCCGCGTGACGTCGTGACGCCTGTGACGTTAGATGCGTCGTGTGTTATGGCGTTCCTCTCCTGATTATGTTATGGTGTGCTCATCTCTGCTACCATACGATTTGAAATTCTATGGCATGGTATGTGTTTGTTCAAAGTGTGCTATACTATGATCGGTCATGTTATGTTACGCGTGCTGTGTTTTGTCGCCATTTGGTATGTCAAGTTGTACTCTTGTATGTGATGTGATGTGGTGTTATGCTCTATCGTTCCATAGCATTGCTATGCTATGTCATTGCATGCTCGCGTCAAGTTATGGAATGGTATGTTGTGCCATGTTGTGTTATGCCGTGCTCGTCTTCTCTATGCTCTGATGTTTTGTCATGCTGTGTTTTGTGATGCTGTGTAATGATATGATATGGTATGTCAAAATATGGTATGGCATGCTCGGCTATGTTGGGTGATGGTGTACTATGCCGTCTTGTGTTATGTCATGGTCTGCTCTGGTATGTTATGTGATGTGGTTTATGCGTTATTGTGTCATGGCATTGCTATGTTATGTTCTGCCATGGTGTGTCATGCTCGTGTTATAGTATGTCATGTTTTGTGATGCCATACTGTGTCATGTCGTGTTCGTCGTCGCTGTGCCCTGCTGGCGTGTTATGACATGTTCTGTGATGATGTGTCATGATATGATGATGCGGTATGTCAAGGTGCGTTATGGCATACTCGGTTATGGTATCGTGCGTTGTTGTATGTTGTCTTCTGCTCTACTTTATCATGATACTGGTATGACATGTTATGTCATGCTCTGCCATGCTCTGTTCCGTTCTGTCATCTTCTGTTCTGTCATGTTGCGTTCTGTCGTGTTCGTCGAGGGCGCGAGGCGGGACACCCAAGACTGTCGGGTATCATCGGGACAACTTGGGGTCTGGCGGTCGCGGTATGCAGGGTGGGGTTGGCCGGGCTGCCAATCGGGACACCCAGGACCATATCGGGGAAGTTTGAGGTCTGGCGGCCGCGGTATGCAGGGCGGAGTTTGCCAGGCGCCAGGCGGGACGCCTGGGATCATCGGGACAACTTGGGGTCTGGCGGCTTCTTTTCTGCCTTCCGACGGCCCGAGACGGCCCAAGAGCCCCCAAAGATCGCCGAAAGATCGCCCAAGAGGCCTCCAAGATGGCCCCAGAACGGCCCAAGAGGCTTCCAAGACGGCCCAGGAGGCCTTTAAGACGCCCAAGATGGCCTCCAAGACGGCCCTGGAGCATTCCAAGAGGGCCCCAAGTCGGCCCATAGAGGCCCCCCAAACGGCTTCCGACGGCGTGAGGCGGACCAGGAGCCCACCAAGACGGCCGACCATGGCCCTAAGATGGCCCAAGACGGCCCAAGAGGCCTCCAGGAGGGCCTCCAGGAAGGCCCGAAAAGGCCCAACGTATTGATGTCCCATGGGTTTTCGAAGGATTGTGGCATTTGCTTCTTCTCTGCCTTCCGACGGCCCCAGACGGCCCAAGTGCCCCCAAAGATCGCCCAAGAGGCCCAAGACACGGCCCCAAGAGGCCCCCAAGACGGCCCAAGAGGCCTCCCAAACGCTCAAGATGGCCTCCAAGACGGCCCAAGAGCCCTCCAAGACGTCCTCCAAGAAGGCCCCAAAGGGTCAAAGTGGCCTCCAGGCGGCCAAGATGACCTTCAAGATGCCCACGTGTTCCCCGAAGGCTTTCCAAACCGATTCGGGGAACACATGGTCCGATAGCTTGGCAGGTCTGGCCTCAACGTTCGGCCACATAGGCGCTTCCAAAAAGGCAGGGGGCGGCGGTGATTCGCCGTAGGCGTCTTCGATACTCCCAGCCTGCACGCTGAGCTTCTGCACAGGACCCCCCCTGGTGGTCGTATAGATACAACTCCCCCTCCGGCGCAGCCCTGCGAACCAGGGCTTACCGCAGCCTCACGCGTGTCGCCATACAGCGTGCCATGGCTTGCTCCACAGGTCGCGCCATGGGAGCACCATGGGCTGTGCCGCGTGTTGCGGCAAGGGTTCGCGCCACACTTAGTTTTCAAGAGGTCGTGCACCCTAGGACGCATCCGTAGGTGCACCATATGTGGCGCCATATATGTTGCCATCGGTTGCGCCGAGTGATACGCCATAGGTTGTGCCATAGCGGTGGGTTGCGCATAGTTGGCGCCATGGGAGACGCCACGGGATGCACCACAATCTGTGCCATATGGTGCGCCATGGCTTGCGCCATAGATTGCGCCGTGGGTTGCAATATTGGTTGGTTGCGCCATCTATTTTTCTATGGGTTGCGCAATAAGCTGCGGGATCCCCTGCGCCTTCGGACGCCGAAACCAATATAAAACCGACTGCTGTCTGCTCTGTGATGAAAGGCTGCGCGCTCGGCCGCCGAAATCATCCTGGTCTTTAGCAGATTGCAACCAGCCCGGACCAGCAAGCGACTCTGAATCGGTGAGCCAATCAGTGAGTCAGTCAGCGTACTGATCAACCAATTATCTTCAGAGCGAAAACTCGGCATCATCGGCAACGATCCGCACAACAAAATCCCTCTTTGAACCTCACACCCGGGACAGTCGATCCTGAATAGCAACCTAAACGGGCCTTGCATCCAGGGACATCGCTGGTGCCCACTCCCCTGACTCATTTGCTGGATCTTGGGAGGGACTGCCAAATTGAATTCCGCTTCTGATCAATCAGGCCCGGCGTGCTGCATACCCTGCCTGCGACTCATGTTTACTCAAGGGGGTGTTCACGCAAGGTGGGCTTCCATTCCATACCAGCTCGAAGGACTTGTTTCCGAGGGAGTGGCAGTCAGGCGACCTTCAACATTACTTGACTCTGAACCTGACGCGGAAACGCCCGTCTCCAAACCTGCCAAAGTGTGCCCGAAGCCTGCTAGTCCGAGACGCGTTTGGCCATGCTTATCGCCGCTGAACGAAAACATGGAATTCAAACAACACTACCCAGATGCGCAATCCTGGGAACTGGCAAATGGACCAAGCTGATGACCGTCGCCCCCTGGAATGTCAGAAAGCAGAGAAGATGGCGGCCGAAACGGCGCCTTGCCAGGCATGCACTCGATCTGGGACACCTCCGAGGTGTGCCAGGTGAAAGTTTTGAGCACCGCACCGCAGTCGCTGTTGATGGCCTTGACCTCGGCAAAGCGAGCGCTGCCACTCCCACTCTGCTCCCCCGCCTCATCCACTTCACAACCTCATCCGCCTCTCCGTCGTGTTCCACCTGCGCATCGCTCATTAATGACTCATGCTTCAACGCATACGGGCCTCCCCTGCGACTGGAACCCTCCGTGCTCATCATAATCTCCCTTCCTCGCCTCATCATTCTACGTACCTGAACTCCTCTATAGATCCATCCGTCCGTTTATAACTCCCTCCTCCACCATCCTCCGTCAATCTCCTGGCCCGCTCCTCGCTCTCTTTTCTCATGGCTGCGTCTCGTCCCTCTCCTCATCCTTGCTGAACCTCCTGCCTCCTCATCGGTCCCTTCGTCCTCTTCGTGGTCGCACTCATCATCTTCCTCCATCCTCATCGTCCTCGTCCACCGCATCCTCTCCGTCCACCACATGACCTGCCGGTTGGGCGCAACGCGGGTTCTCTGTTGGACCCCCCTTACGATGAACGACCACCCCTACGCGTTCGGCAGCTCATCGGACAGAGGCTGTCTCTCAGATCTGCGTCCTCGCACCGAGACCGCGGACAGCCTCTCCTTGAACGCGCACGGCAGCTGCAAGAACGGAGGGCTGCCCCGTCTTCCACGCGCATCGACGTGGCAGGTCGTGCCGCCGAGGGTGGCGCCTTGGCTGGGCGAGCGCACCGAGCACACGCCCACCGTGGCCAAAGTTGTCCGCCGAAGTGCCCGAAGGCACCGAAGGGCACGTCCTCTGGCTCCTTCGAGTCTTCTGCACTCTGTATTGACTACCTACCAGACCACCCCAACCCAACCCGAAGACCCGAATTTCGGGTTGGGGGGGGCACGGGTTCCATATGTGTTTTCTCGATGTTCCCCGCCCCCCCCCCACTGGAAATGGAGGTCAAGTTGAGGCCTTCGGGTTGGGTTGGGGTGGTTTGGTGGGTGGTGATGTATGGACTGAGGGTCCAGGCAACCGATTTTCCGGGCGCTCCCCGGGGTTGTCGCGTGATCACCGGGGCGCCCCCGCGGGACTCTCCCCCGCAGGCAGCCACCACGTGGAAGCACCGCGTTTCTGCATACCCTCGGGCAGAGCAGGCAGGTAGAAGCAGGAGGTAGGAATGCGTTGAAAGTATATTGGGTGTCCGCCCGCCCCACAAGGAGAACGGAAAAGGTGAAGCCACTCGATCATTGAAGTAGGAAGGCGATCAAAGTAGATTGGGACCTGGGGCTCCGAAAATATATATTTTCAAAGACCCGTGAGTAGCTTCGGTCCTGGAAGGTTGTAACACGCCCCTCGGGAACTTTTCCCGTGCAAAAGCGGAGCCGGGGAACCCCGCCGTGCCATCAAAAGAGCCCCCCAGAGGCCCCAAGAAAAATAATATTGATAATACGGATGCCAGTGCGAATAATATTAAAGAGAATGATATTGCTACTGCTAATGCTACGAATAATGATAGTTGTAATAATATGCGAATCATAATACTAATACTGGAGGCCCCCCCCAGATCCCCCGAGAACCCTTCAAACAAGCCCCCGAGAGGCATCCCAGGATACTCTAAGAGGCATGCACAATGCCTCTTGTCCCACACCGCCCAGGCACAGCAGCGGGCTGGGCCTAGTGCATGTCCCACCCCTCCCGTGTGGGCTCTCGCCTTGAATCAAGAACTGCTCGCGCGGCCTCCACCTCCCTCCTCCCTCCCCTCCCTCCTCCTCTCCTCCTCCCTCCTCCCTCCTCCCTCCTCCCTCCCTCCCTCCCTCCTCCCTCCTCCCTCCTCCCTCCTCCCTCCTCCCTCCTCCCTCCTCCCTCCTCCCGCCTCCCGCCTCCTCCCCTCCTCCCGCCTCCTGCCGTCTGCCTCCCGGCTCCTCCCCCCTGCCCCCCGCCTCTCCCTGACAGCTGCCTCCTCGTGGGCTCCTGGGGGGCACGGCGGAGCGGGGCAGTGCGCAGACGCAGCCAGAACCTCGCGGCTCCCCGAGGGGTTGCCACAGGCGCAATTGTCGCCACGTTCGTGGGCTCCTGCGAGGCCCGGAGAGGAGTGGGGGAGTGAGCGGAGCCAGCCGAGACCTCGGGCCGCCTTGGAGATTGCGAAGTGCGAAACTGTCGACACCTTCGTGGGCTCCTGGGGGTGACGGCGAAGTAGGGGAGTGCGCACACCCAGCCGAGGCCTCGCGGCTCCCAGGTGGGCTGAGAAGTGCGCAGCGCAATTGCTGCCACTGCCGTGAGCTCACGGCGCAGCAGGGGAGCACGCACACCCCCAGCAAAGACCTCACAGCTGCCTGGGCGACTGCGATCTCAGTAATTGTCGCCACTGTGCTGGGCTTCCAGGAGGCCCGGCGGAGTGGGGGAACACACGCGCAGCCGAGACCTCGCGGCTCCCTGGGGGGCTGCGAAACTTCGGGGGCTTCTGGGAGGAACGTCTCACACCCATCTGGGACCTCGCTGCTCACTGGGAGACTGCGGAACATGCAACTGTCGCAACCTTCGTGAGCTTCTGAGAGGCCTGTCGAAGTGGGAGAGTACGCACATCCAGCCGAGACCTCGCGGCTCCCTGAGGGGCTGCGAACGTCGCAATTGTCGCCACTTTCGTGGGCTCCTGGGAGGCTCACGGAGTGGGGATGTAAATACGCAGACCCAGCCGAGACCTGGCGGCTCCCTAGGGGGCAGCGACCTGCGCAATCGTCGCCGCTGTCGAGGGCTCCTTGGAGGGACGGCGGAGTGGGGAGAACACACAACCCAGCCGAGACCTCGCAGCCCAACGGTGGGCCGAGAAGTGCGTGATTGTTGGCACTCTCGTGGGCTTGTGGGAGGCCCGGCGGAGTGGGTGAATACGCAGTCGCAGCCCAGACCTCTCGTCTCCCTGGGGGGGCTGCGACCTGCGCAATTGTCGCCACTTATGTGGGCTCCTGGGAGGCTCGGCGGAGTGGGGGAGTACACAACCCAGCCGAGACCTCGCAGCTCCCTTGGGGGTCTCGAAGTGCGAAATCGTCGCCACCTTCGAGGGCTTGTGGGAGGCACGGCTAAGTAGGGGAGTAGGTAAACCCAGCCGAGACCTCGCAGCTGCCTCGGAGACTGCGAACGTCGAAATTGTCGCCACCTTCGTTGGCTTCTGGGTGGTACAGCGGTGCAGATTGTACTCGCAACACGTTGTCGTGTTTGGAGGCTTCATTTATATTGTCGACTCGCGTTGATAAGGACGTCTCGGGCATTTCAGACAAACACGTATGTATACATGCTCACATTGATAAACATGTGCCCGTATACACACTCCACGCCCCAACCAAACTAATGCCACTTGCTGGGGCAAGGCCAACGGTGTCTTCCACTTACGCATGACCTCGACCTACTCGACCTCCTCCTCTACTTTCTCCTCATCATCCGCAATGTCTTCTTCTTGTCCTGCACATGCTCGCTGATCTAATGCTCATCTCCTTCTCACTGCCAACACCTCGCCGTGCTCAGCGACGACACCATCCTTCTCCCGTTCTTCCTCATCCTCCTCCCCCGCACCCATTATCCTACAGCAAACTCCGTCCTCCGCCCTCCTTCCCGTCCCGCTTCATCGTCCCCTCTTCCTATCATCAATCTCCCTCCTCCTCGTGCGTCCTCTCGGTTCTTCATATATCCCCTTGACCACTTCCCCTCTCTTCCTCCTTTGATGTCGATCCTCTCATTGCCCCATCCGCCCACTTCCCCGTTGTCCCCACATCCCTCTTCACGATGTCAGTATGCAGGAATCGGCTCCTCAGTCATGAAAGAAGGCCGCCCCCCCTTCCAGCTGGTGGCACTCCGTTCTGGGCACCCTCCGGGGGCGCGCCCGGAACAGGGTGCCACCAGCTCGGGGAGGGGGAACAGCCGGCCCTCCCAGCTGGTGGCGGGTCTCTCTTCTCCAGTGCCTACGGGCAAAGACGAGGCCTGGACTTCGGGCCTTCCCCCCGGAGCTTTGTTTTCGTGCCAGATGCCGAAGCCCAGGGAGGGACACACAAACAAACAACGTCGACAAAAACAAAGACTGCCGAAAAAGTTGTCAAAAAAAGACCCCCTTTCCTCAGGACCTCCCCCTGCATGACGACCAACACCCGTCTGCACGAGACTCCTCCTATCTCTCTCCCTCGCTGCCCGGACCTCGCCATTGTCGGCGCCGATCAGGAGGCGGCGCTCGGGTATGTCTATCCTAACGGCGCTGATGTTCTGGTCGGTGACGTTGTTGTGTCCGCCGGGCGCTCTCGAGGAGACCCCATGCATTGCGCAATTAGGTTTTGCGTGCCCAGGCTTCTGGCGGAGGGTTGTGTTTTTCAACTGGTGTTCTTTCCTGCACTTTTGTCTTGGTCGCAATTCTCGCGGGCCGGGGAAACACGTGCATCGGAAAGTGGGAGCAGATAGGCATAGAGAAATGGAGGAACGCACAGGCAGCACAGTAACGGAGAAGCAACACGAGAAGAAAGAGGACGAGAAGGGAGGATTCGGAGCAGTCTGGGCCCGTGGGAGAGTGCCTTCGCTGGGCATCCCATGGGAGGAGCGAAAGCGAAAGGACGCGGTACGCACGATCCCTGCTCCGCTGGCGACATTGGGAGGCAACCAGCGGGGGCCGTACTGGGACGCGAGGTGCGGCAAACCAGGAAGTTCTGGAACTATCGAGGGGACCTTCTGGAGCCCGCTACAAGTTAGAAGGCAAATTCTGGAAGCTCTTCGGTGGAACTTGTATGGGCGACTCAGCCACACAAACATAAACTTCGCCTGATCAGGCCGGATTAAGGTTAAGGCCAAGAGCAAGCCAAACTAAGCGGGATTAAGCCAGACATATCCGAATTAGCCCAGGTTTATCCAACTGTCGGCCGCGAACATACCAGCGCCAATACAGAATGTAGCCTCCCAGGAGTTGCACCCTAGTGCAAGAGGGAGCTGGGTCAACTCACTTTGGTGAGGGGAGAGGGGGACGTGGAGGAGGACGAGGGACGACGAGGAGTGGACAAGGGGAGGAGGAAAGAGAGAGAGAGAGAGAGAACACGCGAAGATAGAAGAAACAACGGCGTAAACAGAAACTTGTTAGATCCAAGAAATCCGTGCAGAGCACCCAACGTTTCGGTTCATGGCTGTGTTCTTTTCTTCGAGTGCGAAGGGGCGAAAGAAGGGGGCGGGGATTCGGAGGGGAGCGCGGGCGCGGAGGCGGGGTGGGGGGCCCAGAGGGAGCGCAGGCGGGCTGTAATCAGCGGCCGAGACCTCTGTCCCTCCTCCTCCTCCTCCTCCTCCTCCTCCTCCCTCCTCCTCTCCTCTCCTCCTCCTCCTCCTCCTCCTCCTCCTCCTCCTCCTGCTCCTCCTCCTGCCCTCCTCCTCCTTTCCCTCCTCCTTCCCCTCCTCCTCCTCCTCATCCTCCTCATCCTCCTCCTCCTCCCCCTCCTCCTC